ATAAACATGATGGATTCAATGTTTTAACATGAAGATTATGTATGTGAAGGGCAAGAAGTAACTTGCACATGATCTCACTCACATGTTTTTTCTAAAATTCTATCTAAAAGTGTAAATTCAGGTTGATTGATGCAACAAGATGACACAAATTATAAAGTATGATAAAGATATCATTCCAATAAGACTAATTGAAAAGATAGAGAAGTTTTGAGTGTTGACATTCTTGAAACACCGCATATGATTTCAAAAGATCAAGAATTGCGCATAATAATTTTGGCCAATAGTAATCACACAATCATTGACGGTCATATGGGAGTGGAAAAAATCGTGGAGAGCATTTAATGTGTGTGCTATTGATCCAAATTACATGAGTATGTGGAGGTGTACGTTTGTAGTTGTGTCGTTTGTAAACAAAAAAATATTTGTTATAAAAAACCAGTTGATTTATTATAGACTTTTACTATCCCAAACAACGTTGGAAACATGTCACCATAGATATTGTATGTGAGTTACCAAAGACTTCATAAGCACGATTAAGTGCTTGTTTTTGTGAACAAATTTAGCAAGATGATTCACATTAGCTAAATCTGAAAAACAATATGAGATCGAGAACTAGTTTAATTGTATATAGATAAAGTTTTTGTGAATCATAACTTCAAGGGTTATTTACAAATAGGTATATTCATTTCACTACTTTATTTTGAAATATTTTATTTAGTTTTTTCAAAACAAAACTCAAAATGTCAAGAGTCTATCAATCTTTAATTGATGAACAAAAGGAGAGGTCAAATATAATCATAGTGTATATGCTACGAGCATTTACATGAAAATAGTTAGATGAGTGGAACACCCTTTTGAATCTTGTGGAATTTGCATATAGAAATGTTGTTAAACTTCTTACAAAAGTGTATCCATTTTACTTAATACATGGTGCTCATACTTTAATACTTTCAAGTTTGATGCGAGTTGCAAAAAGTAAAAAGTTTTTGACCAAAGTTGTAGCATTGAACAAGTTTGAGAAATATATTCACAGAGTATTATATCATGAGAAGTTGATGAGAGTTCAAAATAAACAAAAAGAACATGAAGCTCCTCATTATAGGATATTGATTTTTGAGTTATAAGATAATATTTGATTATCTACAACAAAGTTGTATTGTTTGGAAACACCAAAGTTGAACCATAAGTTCATTTATCCATAGTTGGTTTGAATCGTGGTGGTGAAATGTCATACAAGTTGAAACTTCTATCATATACCTAAAAGTTTACCTCAAAATTTGAACTTCAACAGAGCGGGTGTGAAGAAATTGTCGATAAGAAACTTTAACTTTAGGTTTTGGAGCATGGATCTTGCGGGAGCCATATCTTGAAAAATCTATATCTTTGCATCTTGAATGTCAACTTGAGCTAAAATTAGATAGGGTTGTTGAAATCGGCAGGGGGCACTTGTTTGAAAAATGTAAGATTCAACGGAGGTGGTTTGAAGAAGTTATCAATTTGAAGTTTTGAGTTTGTGTAAAACCTTGCAAAGTTGAGTTCATGATGGATTCCGAAAACAAGCCACTCTATCTTATGAAAACGGTTTAGGAGTTTTGAAAGTGGTTCGATAAGAATTTAAGGTATAAAATGTTGACTTGACTAGTGCAAAAATGAATTTCGGGAATTGAAGATTTCCCCACAAAAGTTTTGAGGAGATCATTTTTGAAATCTCTGGATTTGTTGACTACATTTAAGATAAGGTTAGTCATCAAGCTTTTACTGTTGCTACTTCTGGTTTGCATGAAATGGTCGAAAGTTTAGAGGTGAAAATAAAATTCTATGCCGAAGTTACCAAGTGTGCTCAAATCTCTTTCTATCAAGAGCAAGAGCTTGAAAAGTCTAATCATTTTGCTCGTAAAAAGAATGTGGGGACTTCTGGTTTACCTCAATATGAGAAGGAAGAGTTGAAGAGTGTGGTCACCAAGTTCTTGACTGAAACACTTGATGTTTCTAATTTGGATTTGGCCTAAGCTTTTCGTTTTGACAACAAAGGAGCACAACCTCATGTCATTATTGCTAAATTTGTGAATCAAGGTCAATGTGATATGGCTTTTGCTAACAAGGGTTTTCTCAAGAGACGGAGAATTGGGTTAGATCTAGATCTTACAACTCCTCAAGTTGAAGCAAGGAGTAAGTAGCTTGCAAAAGTCAAAGAAGCTCAAGATGCAGGTTTTGTAACTTATTTACGTGATAGTCAAGCTATTATCACTAAGAGTAGAAGACAATCATCAATCTAGCAATCAAAGAGGTTGAGTATGTTGATGTGTAACATAAAAGACCCAACAAAGTATGTGAATGCACATCCAATTTGGAAGATAGCGGACATACTCAACATTGTATAGATTTAGAACATTGACAACAATGCTATTGGAGAGATACAAGGATTTACTTTGGTGAAATGTACTTGGAAACAAAGAAATCAACGAGTATGAAGAGAAATTGGAGGAATTGCTACTTTCATCAGATCTAAACTTATTACTATGATATATTTGAAAATCTAAGATGTTGAAAAACAATATCATTGGTTTCGTTTTGGTTTGATTGGAGTATCTTACAATTATTTGGCAATTTGTTACTTTTGCTCCATTATCCATGGAGATCCATTCCACAAGCACTTGCAATCAAAGTCAAACATTTCATCGGCTCATAGTATATGTTCTCAAATATCAAGACAAAGGTGAAGTTTTTTTTTAGTAAACTTTAATGCTCTCATACGTTCTGTTCAATTTACACAATTTGATAGTTTCTTTTTCACTCTTTAGAAGAAAATATAGATAGTTTGTGTTTTAAAGTCTTTTGTGATACTTCTACATGATTTGACAGAGTATTTTTTGACTTTTGGAGCCACATGTAATTTGAAAATTCTCAATGTTGTTTCTTTCTTTTCCAACTTCCACTCTAATACATGTGTACATCTACTAGTGTTAGCATTATGGTTTATTTTTTGGTACTCTACCACTAATAGTTCATTTATTCCAACATTTGATATTCTAGATACTCAACCAGAATCAGATCATAATTCTCTTTTATTTACTCTTTTGTTTTCAAAGTTAATTTCTCTCTTTACATGTAATTATGATTCTATTTCCCCTAAGTTTTGTTTTGCTAGTAAGAAGCAACTTTATAGTCAACATTTACAAGAACTCTTGAGTTCTACTACTTGGAGCCTTGATCCACATACAATTAGTTTGCAACTAATCGAGTTGTTCAAAACTTTGCTTCTAAGTTCTTTTTGATACATAAGAGCAGGAGAGCTAGAAGTCTTGCTTGCAATGGATGGTTTTACTTTGATTGTAAGCAAGCGAGGGCGAAATTAGTTGATAAATCCTCGGACTTTCACAATCGACTTATCATGACAAGACTTTCCAAAGACTTGGTGAAGTGTAAGAAACAAGCTTTTTTGAGCCGCAAACAAGAGTGCTTCACAAAGTAGTTGTTGGAGAATCCCAAATATTTTTGGAGGCGTAAGTAGTATGATCTTCCAAACTTATTCTTGATTCCAGGTCTTTGGTATCTTTTGTTGAGAAACTTAATTTTTTTCCCAATGTTGCATCAATGTCACATTGTGGAGAAAATTCATACTTATTTTGTGAAGCTGAGTTGATGTTTCAACTCAGACAATTGGCAAATGGTAGGGTTTAGGGTTTCCAAATCCTCAATGGAAATACCATTGAGGATTTGAATGATCTTTCCATTGAAATTATCAAGTGTGGAGTAGATAATATTAGGCTTTTACTTAGTAAAGTGTTAGGTAATGCTACTGTCTTTGGCTTTACTTCAACTTGATATCTACAGAAGATTGTTACTCTTCACAAATTTGGTGACATATATAGTGAAAAACTATCGCATTGTCATGCTTGATAGTATTTTTGCCAAGTTATTGAGGAAATTGATGGAGTAAAAGTTATTGTTGTTGAGATTTTTTATTCTTTGCTTTAGTTTCAAGTTTAGTTGTTGCTTTAGGTTGTTTCATTAAGAGGTATGTATTAGTTACCGTTCTAGTGCTTTGTGCACTTGCTAGTAGTTTCTTTTGGTTCTCTCATAGGTTGACGTTGGATTGTTTGTGTTTCTGTTTTTTGATACTTTGGGATACACGTGCTTAGTTTATTTACCATATATGAAAATATATCCGGTATTTCATGTCACAATTCTTGAAACATGTTTCACGAACAAAACAATTTATTAACTAATCAATATTATTATATTTTTTCATTCGTAGATAGCTAAACATTAGAAGTTTGAGATAGAAAATATAATAAGAAACATATTTGAATTCATAAATATTACAAAGTATAATTTTTGATTAAATGTTAAGACTATATATCATATGAATCAATTTGGTATTGATTTAAAAATTTAAGAATTGTAACTTTTAATTTTGGAATGTTGAGTTTATATGTAACTGGAATATTGCATAACAAACACATAGATTAATATTGTGTTGTTTACAAGTACTATAGAGTTTATTGTTGAAGTGACATGGTAGATTATCTTGAAATATCTACAATGTCAGGATAATGGACTTTATTTTAAATAATATTTATTATATAAATTGAATGTGTTAGTTAAAAAAAATATAAATATTTTTAATTTCATATCATATTAATAGATTAAAACTTCATGTTTACATTCCATATATTTTCTTCATTCACTCTAAGTTTTGAGATTCCAAGGTTAAAATTAACTTTACATCATCAAATTGGAGTAAGATAACTCGTACACGGTATAGGAATTTCTTGTGGGTTATTTACATGCATACCTATTACAGCCATGCCATTGAACTAAAAATTTTGAGATGAGATCGTGAATGCCAAAAATGCCCGAATTAAGTAAAAAAAATGCCAGAATTACGTTAATTATTGTAAACCTGGAATGTGTAATCCCGCACTTAATGCTAATCGTTTGATAAATGCCAAAGAGAAGAAAATGCGAAAACACAATCTACAGATCTGTACAGGATTCCCGTTCTTGACATATTGGACATGTGCTACTTGGCCGCCCAACCTACTGTGTATCGAGATTCATGTGAAGTTTTTGCCTTGTACTTATTGAAGTAGATCGACAACGGAAGGGAAAAGTAAGCTTCGCGTGGGAATGCGAATTCGAGTAATTGGAGTTCTGGGGTAAAACAGAAGTCTTTTGAAGTGTAGGAGCGAGCACGGGGTGATGCAGGGTATCAATTTGTGAGCTTGTTCGATTGCGCATCGTTGGCTTCTGCTGTTGTAACCAAGCACCTCTAACCAAGTTTGGATTGGTATGATTGAAGCTGTTTACTGATTCTGGATGAACAAAAATTGGTTGTAAAACTGAAAGAAGGTTTTTGCTTCCTCAGTTATTGCTTCTTCGTATGCCACTGAACAGTGGCATACGAAGAGACGGGCCAGTTGCTTGGAACAGGTATATATGTCCGCATAATTTCTCTGAAATTATGGGAGTCTTTCGTGGGTAGTTTTCCGCCTATGGATTCCTTTGGTCAACCTTTTGTCAAGTCGTTTGTGCTTCTACGTGTTTGTTCATAATTTTTTCTGGTCCGGGAGTTTATAGAAGGATTGGTGTTTGATTTCCTTCAATTTGAAGTGTCTGATTTAGTGAGGAAGCAGTTTGTCTTCTGGAAGTTTTCATGTGTTTACGGGCGTAATGTTCTTGCCGTTTATTGCTCTGTTTTTATGCCGTGCCCGCCATTTAATAAATTCTGGTGTTGCTGGGGCTACATGATATTGGAGATAGGCTTATTTTTTCCCTTCACCTAAGACTGATCCTAGTTCGTTGCATATAGTCTTCGTGAGTGCTGTTATTATTCCTGTTTGTGGATTGTATCAGCGAAACTACTCCTCTCGCGAAATACTTATGTATCGGATCAACAACGAGGACGTGTAACGATTTGTGGTTGACATGTCTCTTCTCACAGCGTACGAGTGTATCGGAGTGTCTGGAGGATTACAGAGTGGTAGGCGACGAACCACGGATGCTGAAGTAGTGTTGAAGTTTCGCACGCGAAGAACTGCCGATAGTACGCGGGTGAAGTAGTTTACTCCTACGGAACGATTTTGAACGATATTTGCTTAGAATTAACCTTTGGAGCTGTGCTCGTTCCTCACCCGTAATATACCTGGGAAGATGGGAAATTTATGATCGGAAATGGATTTTGATCTGAAGAAGTTATCAATCGTGAATCCTTACATAGGGTGCAGTAGCCCTCGGTCAAAATCTCTCTGACGCTGGCAATGTTTTTCGGGGCAGGATGTAGGCACATCAAGAAATCATGCACCGCTACTCTGCCGCTGGGAGCAGCAGTGGGGTTGGAAATAACTCTGGCAGCGGGGGAGCTTCCAGGGAAACGAGAGGATCCGAGTCTTCTTTCACCTCGTCAACGACCTTCTCTCTTCCCTCTAGGTAAGCATTTATTGCAAGCGAGAAATTGGTAACACCAGATTATCCTAATGTCTTCCACTCCTGAAATTGACAATCGTTTACGAGATCTTTTCACTTTATATTTATCTCTCATGCCGCCCTATGAAACGGATGTTAGAGTTGGTGTCTCGAATTCGTCACCGAAGCTCGTTGATTGTTCATACTGTAGCTTGCTTTTCTAAAGCGTTCAATGAGCGCTTAGCAAGAGAAGAGTATGATCGCTTGAATCTAATTTTTAGCTAGTTCTCTTTGACATCCCGAAGCATATGGAGTGTCATATTGTTTTTTTTCAGTTACCTTTCCGAATATTATTTGATCTATTCACTTAACGAAGTTTAGGGGTTGCTATGTTTGGCGTCTTAATTTGCGTGGAACGTTGCGGAATATCTAGGATTCGAGAACTCTCTGATAAGTTGAAGTCCGTAGTATGCTTCAGTCATCGGCCGAAGACCAGATTGACGGTTCTAGTAGTAGTTACTACTGGCGCCGATGGGTGAGCGGTGCCAGTATGAACGGACTGGGAAGAAGTACTCGCATTATATATTGAAGAGGGACGTTGAAGAGGGAGGATTATCAAGAATGAAGAGGGTCTTTTCATGTATGATTTCTTCCAACATGTGAAGGTCCTGTAGAGCTGCGAGGTGCAAACCAAGAACTATATCTCAAGCTCTTCCACCTGAAAGTGTGAAGGTCCGAGAAGATTTGACTTAAGAGAGCAGCAGCTTTTGGTTTTCAATTAAGGTTTAGAAGAGATTTGGTTGTTTCTGGTTCCCCCCGCTGAGCAAAGTTTAGAACAATGTTTCTCTCATTTTGACTAAGGTACTGCTTGCGACAAGATTCTTTACAATGTTATCCTTTCGTCTTAAACGTCATTTCGCCCTTCTTATGTCCCTCCTTTGCTGTCTACCTTTTCTCTTTTCTATCTCTGTCTCCGTCGTTGATTTCCTCATTTCGATGTTCCTCAGCCCGCTTACAACCCCTTATAGTTCCACGTTCTTACGAAACTCTTTCCAATCTAGTGAATGTGTAGTCCATCGTTATACAACCATTTGTTCTGAAACTCTTCCTCTGCGTTGCTTTTTCTCTTTCGCAGCACTCTTTTTCAAAATTCTTGTCGCCTTTGTGGCTGAATGATTATTAATCATACTTAAGTGGACCCTGCTTCTTCTCCTGCCATTTTTTCTCATAATTACGTTTCAAGTCAAAACCTTAACATCCTAGTAGTGCTATTGTGCTTCTTACATTCTATCCTTCGCTTTCTGTTTTCACCTGAAACTAAGTTTCGCCTCTTCCAGGTGACCATTTCTACAGCACTTTAGGCCTTCACTTTGAGAATTAACAGTTTTGTGTTCTCAAACGAAGAGCTTTTTAGCGTGTTTGGGGTCCTATCTCACTGGTATTATAGTCTTTTCGGCCACCCGTAGACGCCTGGCAGCAAATCTTTTTGGTCGTGGACCTGGCCACTCCACTTGCAGGCTTCTACACACAGCTCACATTTGCAGATTCTGTAGAATGAGTCGCTTTCAGCATTCTTGTGCTATTCCCTGTACGAGCAAATGCCATCAGCACTTGTGTACACTTGCGTGTCCTTTTATCTTCAACGCCGCTTTCCAGATTTGGCTTGACCTTCTCATATACGTGTTACAGTCTCGATATGACTACTCTACTCATCATTTGATCGTGGCTTACAAAGTTGAGACGAACATTTTTTTGGTGTCTCACCTCTTTCCGACTTGGAAATTACTCAAGTCTCCACTAAAGCAAATGACATTACACTTACAAAGTTTCCTTTATAGTTACGATCGGGTAAGGAGTGGCTTCCTGTATCACATTGTATACGGGCTTCTGCATCAGCGTGGTTTCATCTGCTCCTGGATCTTACAGAATGATGGCATCTGCAACGTATTTATGATTCAGCGGTAGGCGCCTTGAATCTTGAATCTCGGCCTTCGCTCCTCCGTTCTTCTTCTCATGCTACCGCTTAAGCATCTTGTACATGATTTTGACCTTGTAGACCTCAGACAGGAGATGGCTACCCTAGTCAAGGATCTTGTTTGTCATGTTTCTTTACGCAAGCAGCAGGAGAAGAATCTTCGTTTCATTGGTCATTGCAAGTTTTCTCCTTCATCTTGTTGGGCTCGCTTGCGTTCCGAGGTTTCAGAACGCCTTTCATCACAGCGACGGTTCGTGTCTCTAGATCTCCGCATTACTTGGTTGGATTTCCTTCGAGGTAATCTTCTCTTATGTTTGGAACACGGCCTCCATCGACAAACAATTGGGTTTCCCAGGGAAGTGACTATGCGCACCATTTAGCTAATTTTTACTTGATCAGATACGTATTCCAACGGTTGCTCTTTGTCCGGAACACAACGAACTCCTTGGCAGATCTATCAACGTTCGACGATATGCGGACGATCTGCTCCGGAGTTCGAGTACCTGTGTTTATCTCTCCAGATGCTATAGTGGGGTAATCTGTCCTCGGGATTCCTGCAAACTTTGTTATACCTTCTCTGCGGACATTCACTGTTGCAGGGACTTGACCATTTTCCTTAACTGGCAAGCCAGGTCTATTTAAAACGGCGAGATTCATCAGACAACATCAGCTAATCACCCTTCTACATGTGATAACCAAGGCATTATTCAGGCTCAAGTCGTTGGTTTTTCTAAGATATGCACCTTTCGACAACATCTAGTCCACCCTATAGCTATCTGGATTAGGGACTCTGATCCTTAGCACTTCGATATGCTCCGGATTTATCATGTCTTTGAACATGTTCCTTCTAGACCAATTTGCTACGGGGGTCTTCCGATCAGTCCGGAAGGTTACAAATACACGGTGGAGTGCTTGTTCACAATCCCGTCTTCTCGACTAGCTCCATCTAAGCTTTTCTTTTCTTTTCTTTCTCATTTCCCTTACTATATTCTTCCTTATTGGTATGTGAGATTTACACGGCATCTTGTTATAGATGCATCTAGTCCACGCGATATCCGTATTAATCAGGAACTACTACAATATGCGCCTCATGGATCGTACCCTGGCTTCTGTTTTTTCGTCGGGAAATAGTCACACCAGACTACTCAGCTTTTGGAATTTTCTGGTGAGTACGACACGTTACCCACACAGGGTGAGGAGCTTGTTCAGAAACCTGTCTTTTAGTTCGGTTCGGTCGTTTATTTCAAATATCCAACGCCAGACGTTTCAAACACAAACTCTCTTTCTTCTCTGTATTTGAGCAATATTATCCAATCGATATCCTTGCCAGTGGAATAACCCTCAGCTTAAGGTTTATGATGAGGTTTTCCTCTTTTACATTTAAGTTTGTTTCCAGTTGAGTTTTCTTGTTCTTCATTCTTGGTAACTTCCAATCGAATGAAATTCTCTCAGTTCTCTGGCATGTTGTCTCCCCTTTTTTATCCTGCTCTAGCTCATAGGTAGAAAGTGCTGGGCAATATGTGACATAGGTATGGCAGCAACCATCGTTTTCACCCAGGCTTGTTGGGCTTCGAGTTGTTGTTGGCCATCGCGCGGTCCAGAGCAGAAACCTGTGCACCTCGGTATTCACTGATGAAGCTGCCGAGACCACGTGACGGTAATTTGACGTTTCCCCGTTCAGATTTCGTTGATGGTCAAGAAGACTGGCTCCTCCCTACTGCACACTTACTTGTCTCAGCTCTGTCAATCTGACAATTGCTTTCCTCGCTGCCTTCCATATGCCATTGTTCTGCTGCTCCTTGGCTGCTTCTACTTGTGCATCTATGGGTCCTTAATTCCCTCACTACTTCAGTTCTAATTTGCGTGACAGGTCTTACTTTTTCTAGTCACTATTCCGTTCTTCGGGTTGTGCGATGAACCGCTTTAAGTAATTCTGTTTTGCATCCATACGCGGCCAGAGTAGCTTTGGCCTCGTTAGCTCTTGCTTTGGCCTCATTACTATCGTCTTCATGTTTCCTCACCACCTAGTATATCTGGTTTGCACCTTTGGGGCGCAACACCTTCTGTCTCTGCATGCCAAGCCCCAGCGGCTGATCAGTTAGTATCTAAACTGTTTAGGATACTCTCTTGATTCCCTTAGAATTCCGTCTACTCAATCAGACTGAATACTACGCCATGTATTCTTTGCTATGTGTTTCAGACCTGTTCTTTATTGCCTAACAGTCCTAATTCATCGGGCTATGTCTTAGGATAGAGCCCCTATGCATGTGCCTTCCGGGTCTGTGCTCTTTGTGCTTCGGTCTCCTTACGTATTAGCCCTTGCGATTGATCACGTTGAAATTCACATGTCGTTTCCTGTGGATTAACGCTCCCTCTGTTGTCTCGGATGTGTGTTCTGTTTGGCTTATCGTTTCTTGTTTTTACGGATGCTGATTAAGGTAAATGCAGTTTTTTTCTCTTCTTTTAGATATTGCTTCATATTCGGCTTTCACTTTTTCACAGGTAGATAGTGCAAGGGAGTATTGAACATATCTCTTCGCAACAACCATCAACATGTCTTTGGTTTGTTGGGCTTTGAGTTATTCTCACTACCTGCGTGGTTCCATGCAATGCTCTATGCACAGCGATATCCACTGATGAAGCAGCCGAGTTAATGTGACGGATGTCTGACGCTTCCCGTATGAATGTTGCAATGGTCACTGGATGCCTTTCTTGCGTCGGGCTCACACATCCATACTGCTTAGTTAGATTCCCAGGATTGTCATATTGACGGTTTGATCTCCTCTCCTAGATACTTTTCTCACTCGCTTCCATCTTCCACCTTCCTTTTGCTCTTTGTTATTTTTTGAATGTTTGCATCTTTCGTCTCTATCTTGTTACTGCCGTTGTTTGCCCGCCGCTCGTATACTAATTGCTTATTCTTTCAACTATAGTCTCTGGATTACTGTTCAGATATGTAGTACTAGGATCTACGCTAGTACTCCCTTCATCGGCACTCTCTGGGTAACTTTTCTTCTCGCTTCTATTTCTTTGCGTTCCTTCTTCGTTGATGCATTCAACGTCCTTCGTCCCGCCAGGTTGAGATGTCCACTCCTGCCATCTCCTTCTGTTCACCCCGATCAGCTATTGTTCGTAGTGCTCAGAACCTTCTTGGAAACGGGCGCGTTCTGTTCGCCCAGGAGGCTGTGCTAAGAATTTTTTCCATCTATCACGGCATGCTAGTTTTAAGTGCGTTGCAAGAATTGAAATTTACTTTTCAATACCGGAAGGCCTGGTAATTAGCTCTGGTGCCCTTGACAGTCACCTTGAAGAAGCATGATTCTCCTTTCACCATCCGATTGTGGTCGAACTGTTGGTAACTATGTTCCTGGACAATGGCATGGTTATTGAATATACACCTGTCGCGTCCTAAGTGCTCCAATTCCTTTCTTGTACACAAAGTTTTTCTTTCTCCTTTTTTTTCTTTGCTTATTTTAATGTACGCAAGCTTGGGCACATGCTGCTATCAGATTACAGTCAGTTTTTTTTTTTGGTCTCAGTATTATGTGGGCCTTCTGGACCAGATAAGCTTAGAGATGAATTTTATTTACTTCAGTTTCTATTTCGTCATTATTTGTGGCGTTTGAGACCTTAATGCTAGCTTGGGTCGATTATATCATTACGCCATATATGTTACCGATGGATCTTCATAGTGGGCCCGCTCTTGCTTAAAATTTTCTGTTTTCAGGTTGATTTGATGAATAAGTTCACAGAGCGATGTAAATAATGGTCAGTTCTGGTCTCATGCTGTATTGTGTTATTGCAGACGCACAAATCAGCAGCTCGTGGCATACAAGCTCAAGTGCGAGAGGGAGCCTCTGAGTATACGGTATGGGCAATTTTTATGTGTAAGATGCCTTTTCCGCGATTGTGCAGGTGAACTAACAGTGTACATGACCTTCTGTGTTAAAGTCCACGGTTTTTTACAAAAAACCAGAATCATCGGTAATGGAAATGATGAAAAGCATCTCCTGGAAGTCTGCAAATAGAGGCAGTGGTAGTAGCAAGCGTCATGAGCGCCGACGATCACTTGCTGGTGTGATATGTTAAGCTAATGCGTGTCAAACAATGTTTCTATTTCGTGCTGAATGTCTCGGATTGATGGCCAAATTGCCTCTATTTCAAACCCTAAACGCTAAACCCTGGACCCTTTCCAGACTACTTGCTATCTGGGTGAACTGATGTTTTACTAAAAGTCAGTTATTGGTAACTGTGCTTTCTCTTTCTCTAGGTTTCGAAAATTCAACGTTGATTTGCTGCGATTGTCTACTTTCCGTATGCTTTCCTTAGCTTTGGGCCTCGTGCTTGCTTCACCCTTTTGGTCATGAATCTTGGTAAATTGCCTTTTCGTCAATCACTGATATAAACACAGTTCACGTCTAAAGGATAGGAGATAACTTTTACTTAAGGGATATTTCAGGGCAACTATGAATTTTACCGTGTCTCCTTTGGTTTGGAGTAACACGTGGATTGTTATAGTTTTACCCTTCTCTTGTGATGGGCACCCATCGGATTGGCAGTCCGAGGTTGTTTTACTTCATCAACTTCAGTCGCTCCCAAGATTTCGATTTTTTGTGTAACCCAGAGGAAACCTAGACCGGACGCGTGCCGAAGATCAACTTTTGTAATGGTTTCAAATCCAGTGACCTACACGAAGCTTGAATTATTCCTTCTGCTAATGTTTCTGATCATTCGCTCAATATTGACACTTACGGTGCTTTTGTCATATGCAGTTTGGGACCTCCAGACTTTTATCCTCCAGCTCCAAATTGTGCAGAAGAAATTCTCAATCGAGAGTCTTGTGTAAATGGTTACAAGGAAATCATTGACGGTGTTGAGGTCAGCATGTAAAACACCTGACAATCTCATGGCTCTCCTCATTCACTTGATTACTTCAGTTTGTGACTTTTTTTGGATTAATGTTCAGGGGAAGTAGGAGCTTATTTTGCTTGATTTGTTTTTTTATTTGAGGATTGAGATGAAATGCTATAAGATGAGAGGCTGCCAAACTTACTGCGAACATTTGATGACACTACATCTGTCATTGAGCCCATCTGGCTTTGATTTGGGATGTCAACTTTTACGTTGCGTGCCAATTGCCTTGCTTTCGGCTAGTGCGAACACGAACCTGAAGTTTTTCCCTTGTGGCAGTCTGCGATCTCGTTTTCTCTTAATAAGTTTTCCTATATTTACCTTTTCCTGCCCCTGTCAAACGTACTCTTACATCCCACGATCTTACTGTGATTTGCTGATGGATCCAGATCTGAGCTTCAAATCTGAACTCACAGTTTTGTTCCTATGTGGTTTCGTTGTGCTTCGATAACACTTTTCAAGGTTTCTTGGATGTGTGAGGAAAGACATAAGTACTGCAATAGAGGATGGGCAGAAAGTCTTAGTATTCGATTATAAACCAAACATCCAAATCTCCAGTGATCTTATTGTTTTTTCAGCTTACTTTTTACTGGGAAGCATTGTTGTATGGATTAGATGCCCGATCTCGTCTGGACTGTGCTGTTTCATTTATTAGATCATTGTGTGGTTTTCTGTCGCAGGAGACTAATGAGGCCAAATTATCACTTACTTCGCCAGCCTATAACAATATCTGGAACAAGCAAAACGTCAATCGATATAAGGAGGTTCTTTTCGTATCCTTTTTGCCTCGTGACAAGTGCGGTTTTGAGTGCATCTGCTTTGAGGAAATTTGCTGGTTGGAACATGAAGTATAGGCGAACCACCAAGGGACGACCGGGTTTTGTAACCTATACGAATGGAGTAGTTTATATGCCACCATCATGTCTTCTGGTGATTGAACACTTCTTCTGCGATTTTCATCAATCGCATTTAGTTGTCCAGCGTACACTTGCTTTGGTGTTTTCTACTGTAGTTTCTTGGAGCTGTAGGTCTGTCGACTATACTGATGATGCTTGCCATAGTCTTGTATCACTATTTTGGCAGATTAATCAGGATTGCAGTGTTTGTTTCATTTTTTCACAGCCTGTCCACGTCGTTCGGAATACATTTGGACGTGAGATTGTTGGAGGCTAATTGTTGCGGTCTGTGCTTTTTTACCTGGAAAGCACTTATCTTGATCATGAAGAAGGTCTAGTCTGTCGCTTGTAGACACTATTATGCTTGTTCTGAAAATCGATAATATTTCATGAAAATAAACAAAATAATTACCCTACTTCCAGCTTGTGTCGCCCTTCTTTGATATTTGGCATTTTGGTCTTTTCAACATTTGTTGTGTTACATTTGCAGCTTTCGGGAATTTGCCTCCCTTGCTCGCTGTCTGTTTGAAATCATACTGGGCTCTTTTCTTGTTCTTCCTCGTCTGTCACCATAAGCATCGCCTATGCAAGGCGCGGGGTCTGAGGTCTTCATGCAATGACAGGAACGGTATTAGAAATTAGTTCATTTCAGGTTGCCTTCTCTGTTTGGATCAACTATTCTGGATTGGAAAAGATTCCACTGGGTAGAATCAATATAAAATATATATAGCAGACCAATTCTTTATTCATATTGAGGCACGAAAGGAGTTGAAATTTTCATGCGGCCTGTCTGGTTCAAAGACCTGAGGTCATTAACACCTAGCTAGCCACAGTGCAGGTTTAGGGACCTTCACATCGTGTGCGACTGCATGCCGATTACTAAAGCAGCCGCGTATTTGACAGACAAATTTCTGTAAAATCGGGCTGTATGCGCGTTAAACATTATGTTATATCAGATGAGCAATTGAGAGTGAGAGATCAGTCACAGTTGAGGAAGGATTGAAGCTCAATTGATGGATGATAACAGGCGTCCCGGATTGGGTTTAAGTACCTAATCCGGATAGGACCAAAGGCCATGAGAGAGCACACGGATCGCAGCTCTAAGAAGGGATATGCCCCTGAGAGTGGGACACACCCCTGTCATGGGACGCACCCATTCAAGGGTCGCATCCCCAGTTGTTATCTATCCTAACTACTAGTAACCTCAGTCCTAATAACTAGGACATAGTGTACAGGTCCCGAAGAAGTAGGGAGTAATCTGCATTCTAACACATTAAGTAGTGGATATGGGTGACCTTAGCAGATGGACAGGGTAAGGTTGACCGGACGGCGGTGAGTCGGTTTTTTGGACCGGACGGCGGTTATTTACTAATGGGTTGCCACTCATGAACATTTTGAGGTAGCTTTAGCAAGAGGCACAAGACCCCTTCTCTGGCGTGGACGCCGGTCAATCTGGAGGAGAAAGTGATTGTGGTGGTCGAAGTTGATTGATATCGCTCTCCGTCCACGAGAGAAACAATCAATGATCGATAGAACTGACGTAGGTAGATCTCAGATTTTCTAGTGGTTGAAATTGGGTCTGCAGATGGCTTCGTCTCCTACAGTGCCGGACGATTTTAAGAATATGGAAGAATGGTAATTTTTAGGGGAAGGTTTGAAGACAGCTATGGATCCAAACTGGCAGAGAACTTGGTTGCGCGCATTATTTCTTCGAGACAACGGCTAGATCTGGTTCCAGGTCGCCCAAATTCGCAACTGCCGGGGGCAGCTGTGGAATAAATTTGCCTACAATCGCTTAGGAGAACAGATCATTCTTTTCAGTAGTTCGTAAGTGGTGGTACCCAGAACCTAGAACACTCATCATAACGAAGACAGAAACAAAGCTTGTGCAGAGGCATGTCCAGAGGAGACTTGATGGTAGCTCTGTTGTCATCTGAAACGGAAAGATAATCATGGATGCAGACGTCACACTCGAAAGTTGGCCGAGCAAAGCCATGAATAAAAACTTTTCCAGAATGCAGAACGTGACTGGAGGAAAAAGCAGAAGTTAGCGGTGGTGAACGATTAACCTCCGGGATTTTCTCCGGATCAATTGAGTTCCTTGTGACCTGGTAACGTAGAACTGGGAGTAAGGTGTGCAAAATTTCGTGATGCAATCCCAGCCTACGGACATGTTGAAGTATATTCCACCTCAGCTATATCTAAAGTGGCATGGCCAATGATGAACCTGTAAACCTCAAGCCTGGAGGCTGTGACGACCTGGTAGGGAAGTAGCCGAATCACGGTTCGCCTGCAATTGCTCCGGCCTTAGTGATCAACTTCAACTTGGTCTTGAGGCAGAATGATGCGTTTCAAGTGGAGTTTGGGCACCGTCGTCAACTTTTTCAAGGAGGGAGAGTGGAGCACCTGTGTAATTACACGGGGATGACACTTCTTTGAGTAGTCTTGAAATCTCTATTCTCAAGCATCGACATTCGCATCTCACAAATCACGGCACAACAAGGGCAGGGGTGGACTGGCAGGTTTCCTCTACATTAGTTATTGATAAACCAAGTAATTGTAGGAAAAATATCGGAACAAGTACCTCGACTCCAAACGCTAATTGTCATCCAGGTTGGAAAACAAATAACGAAGTGGTGTTGGTGGACACTCTCTAGCTGACACCTCGAAACCTTGAACTAACGTTCGATACAGGAACACTACTCTTAAAAGAGACAACTTCTACTGTTTTACTCCTCTGGCCGAGATGTCTTTATGTATGCGGACTTCCTTTTTTTATTTTATTTCAAAATACCGCTGCCCGTGCTTTTGGTTTATTGCATTGAACTGGTTCTCTCATGTTACTAGTCGTTGTTCATGTACTGCTACATTTTCTTTTTCAGTTGGTATTTCTGGTATTCTGTATTTCTCTGCTTGCTGATCGTAATTTGTACTGGTTTTTCCTTGAATGAAGGTTTTTGTCACTCATTCTTACTTGGATTTGACGCTTGTGAGCTCTGGCCTGGTCGGTTTGTGCTTCTCTGCGCTTTCTTTTCCGTATTGATCTGTTAGTTTTTTCCTCACTTACTACACTAACCTTGTTATGAAACCCATAATATTTTCGCCATTTTATGTACTTATTTGTGGTTGTTACCTTGGAAACGTGAGTTGCTTGTTGATACTACCTTTCCTACAGCGTTATTACCGTAAGAATATAGCCTTCGTGGCTTGTTTCACGCATCTATTTGTATGCTTCATGTTCTGCATTCAGAATTCTCTGCAGCCCCCATGTGTCCCGTTCTCACTGCTCGGCAAAATTTTTGACAGATTCTGTGGAATTGCAGGCAATAAGGAAGCGCCTTCGTGCCCTCAACAATGCTCTTGTCCGGAAAAGAAAGGTATTTGTATCTTGGATTTAAAGCTGAGTCTTTCTTTGCTAATGTCCTCAGTATCCAACCCCCTGAGAGTAGCATCTGAAACTATTCAGTCGGAGTACTTCAAAACTTCGATGTTTTCACATCGTTATATCTAGTGCTTGGGAATTTGTGTCATGTTGAGAAAAGATGATATTAGAAAAGGAGAGCAATCCAGAAAGGGTCGACACAGGAATTGAGTTCTGAGGAAGGATCATCGTATGAGTTGTTGAAACACAGGTCCCGGATTGGGTTTAAATACCCAATCCGAGATGTGCCCAAACAGTGGGACACACCCCTATAGTGGGTCGCACCCACTGGTCATCACAGTCCTAACTATAAAGACACTAACTGCACTACATCTCAGTCCTAACTACAAGGACTCTAACTGCACTAATCCGCACAGGGAGGACAGTATTAGGGAGTAAAACAGTATTCTAACACTCCCATTTACTACCTACTTACTTCTCTCTTCCTCATTTCCAACTAACAACCCCAAATTCCGATTATGACACCAACGCCTTTCTCTAGCTAATGGTTTTGTCATAATATCCGTAATCATATCTTCAGTTGGAAGATAAACCAACTTCACCAAGTTATTTGCGACTAGGTCCCTGACAAAATGATATCTTATATCAATGTGTTTTGATCTTTCATGATTTTACTGGTTCTCTACTTGTGCAATAGCACTTTGCTTTTCGCAGAATATTGTGGACTCCAGCTCAAAGCCCTGATCGTTCAATAATTCTCTGAACCACATAGCTTCAGCTCCAGCCCTGTATAATACCATATACTCTGCTTCTGTAGAAGAAAGTGCTAATGACTTTTGATTCTTGATGTCCAACTAATGGTTCCACCATTGAGTTGGAAGTGATTTCCATAACTGGATCGTCTCGTGTCAAGGCAACCTCCCCAGTCCGCATCATAATATCCAGTCAAACCGGATGGTTTATTAACCCTTGTAAACACAAGGCCAAAATCGACAGTTCCTTTCAGATATCTGAAAATCCTCTTTACTGCCTTCCAGTGTATCAATCTAGGATTTGACATGAACTGAGCCACTGAACTAACAGCATGAGATACATCGGGTCTAGTACAGACCATCGCCCACATCAAGCTCCCAACAGCAGCTTGATAGGGTATATCTTTTATCTCTTCACTTTCTCCCACTGAATTGGGAGAGTCAAGCACACTTAACTTCAAACCGGGTTCCATAGCTGTATCAATAGGCTTACAGTCAGCCATGTTGAACCTCACAAGTTTTTCAACCAAATATCGTGGTTGGGAGATTCGAATCCACCCTTCTTCACGATTTCTGTCCACTTGCATCCAAGACAATGATGGATCTCTTCTAAGTCCACCATATCGAACTCCGTTTTAAGTTTCTCCTTGATATTTGTAAGAAGATGCAAGGAATCACTCGCCAGTATACAGTCGTCGACATATAGTGCTAAATACACAAGTGCATTCTCCTGAGAGTAGATGTAAACATTTTGATCTGCATTAGCTCTGGTAAAAGCAATCTGCAGTAAGAACGAGTCAATCCTTTGATACCACTGTTGTGAGGATTGCTTCAGTCCATAAATGGACTTATTCAGTTTGCATACCATGTTTTTCTCAGAAGAAATATTCAACCCTTCAGGAAGAGCCATGTACACTTCTTCATCTAATAGTCCGTTCAAAAACGCAGTTTTCACGTCCATTTGGTGCAGCTCTAAATTATTTTGAGCTTTTAGAGCCATGAACACCCTAATAGATGTCAACTTCACCACAGGAGAAAAATGTTTCTAAAAAGTCAAGACCATAAACTTGAGAATATCGTTTAGCTACTACTCTGGCCTTGTATCGATCAACAGAACCGTCAGGCTTGTATTTGATTTTATAAATCCGTTTACAGCCAACGACGTTTTTGCCCTTAGGTAACTCTGTCAATGTCCAGGTTTGATTTTTGTCCAAAGAAGGAATTGCGGGTTCCCCTATAAAATTGACAGAATATAGCAAAACTGTTAGATTTAGACGATGCAATAGAGAGTAAGAGATCAGTGAGTTGAGGAAGGATTGAAGTTATAATCAATGGATGAAAACATGCGACCCGGATTGGGTTTAAGTACCCAATCCGGATAGGATCAAAGGTCACTAGAGAGCACACGGATCGAAGCTCTACGAAGGGTCATGCCCCTGTCACGGGACGCTCCCAGAAGGGTCGCATCCCCAGTTAGTATACATCCTAACTATTAGTAACCTCAGTCCTAACAACTAGGACATAGTACACAGGTCCCGAAGAAGTAGGGAGTAATCAGCATTCTAACACTCCCACTTGCTACCTACTTACTTCTCTCTTCCTCATTTTTATCTAATAAACCCAGATTCTGACAATGACACCAATGCCTTTCTCTAGCTAATGGTTTTGTCATGATGTCAGCTATCATGTCCTCGGTTGGGAGATAAATCAGCTTGACCAAGCTATTCGCGGCTAGGTCCCTGACGTAGTGATATCTGATATCGACGTGTTTAGATCTCTCGTGATTCTTCTGGTTCACAATCTGTGCAATAGCACTTTGATTGTCGCAGAATATGGTTGTCGACTCCAGCTGGAGACCTAGATCTTTTAATAATTCTCTCAACCATATAGCTTCAGCTCCAGCTTTGGACAAAGCCATATATTCTGCTTCCGTGGATGAAAGTGCTACCGACTTTTGTTTCTTTGATGTCCAACTAATGGTTCCACCATTGAATTGGAAACAATATCCAGAAGTAGATCGTCTCGTGTCAAGGCAACCTCCCCAGTCCGCGTCAGAATATCCAGTTAAACCGGATGGTTTATCAACCCTTGTAAACACAAGGCCAAAGTCGAGAGTCCCTTTCAGGTATCTGAAAATTCTCTTGACTGCCTTGCAGTGCATCAGTCCGGGATTTGACATGAATTGAGCTACTGAGCTCACAGCAAAAGATATGTCAGGTCTAGTACAGACCATTGCCCACATCAAGCTTCCAACAGCAGCTTGATACGGTATATCTTTCATCTCTTGACTTTCTCCCACTGAATTAGGAGAGTCAAGCACACTTAACTTCAATCCGGGTTCCATTGGTGTGTCAATAGGCTTACAGTCAGCCATGTTGAACTTTGCAAGCTTCTCAACCAAATATCGTGGTTGGGAGATCCGAATCCACCCTTCTTCACGATTTCTGTCAACTTGCATACCAAGACACTGTTGGATCTGTTCTAAGTCCACCATATCGAACTCCGTTTTGAGTTTCTTCTTGATCTTGGTAAGAAGATCCAAGGAATTACTTGCCAAAATACAATCGTCCACATATAGTGCTAAATACACAAATGCTTTCTCCTGAGAGTATATATAAACATTCTGATCTGCATTTGCTCTGGTGAAAGCAATCTGCAGTAAGAACGAATCAATCCTCCGATACCACTGTCGTGAGGATTGCTTCAGTCCATAAATGGACTTGTTCAGTTTACATACTATGTTTCTCTCAGAAGAAATATTCAACCCTTCAGGAAGGGCCATGTAGACTTCTTCATCTAATAGTCCATTCAAGAATGCAGTCTTCACATCCATCTGGTGCAGCTCTAAGTTGTGTGCTGAGCTGCTAGAGCCAATAACACCCGAATGGATGTCATTTTTACCACAGGAGAAAATGTCTCCGAAAAGTCGACACCGTAAACCTGTGAGTATCCTTTCGCTACTAACCTTGCCTTATAGCGATCCACAGAACCGTCTGGCTTGTATTTGATTTTGAAAACCCATTTGCAACCGACGACGTTCTTGCCCGCAGGTAATTCTGTCAGCGTCCATGTCTGATTTTTCTTCAAGGAAGAAAATTCGTTCTCCATTGCTGCTTTCCACTGGACAGAATCTCCACCTTGTAAGGCTTCTTGATAGGTGGTCGGCTCTTTCCGAGTCTCTTGATATGAGACTAAACCTCTGTGCTTCTTCTTCCTCCTTTCCAACAATTGGTCGTATTTTTCGACTCTTTTCCCAACTCTGTCTCCCTTCGAAAGTTAGGATCGATTGTCTGGGAAGAGGATGAAGCTGCCCCCTTTGCTGCAGTGTCAGAGGGTGGAGCAACCGGGGCCTCAGATGTAGTTTCTTGAAGTCTGAGTTCGCCCAGTAGTTGCTCGAGGTTGCGAACCGTATCATCAAGTTTCTCCCGAGACTTCCAGGCGCGCCTCTGATAGGTCTTACCAAAATGGGCCGGATAAGTCGCGGGAACTTCAGCTGTAGTAGGATGATTCACAGTAGGAGGTGAAGGAGCTGGTGGAGCTCCCACTCCAGGTGATGGTGTTTCTGGACGGAAGGCTCCCTCTGCGGGTGGCCTTTCTGCTGGTGGCACTCCTGCTGGTGGCAGGTCCACTGCTTGTGGAATAGGAACTCTGCAATCTGGAACAGTAGATGAGCTTGTAGGTAAATGGCTGAAGAGAAAACCGTCTTGGTTATTAGGCGGAACAGCTGATGTTCCGCTGCTGAGGGAAGTTGGATTCCCGAGCAGCAAGAGGCATAAACCTTACAGATCTGCTCTCGATAATTTTACGAGAGTCTTTGCGCTGCAGCCTATATCTTTTAGCTGTAGGAGAGTAACCAAGGAAAATACATTCTACGCTCTTAGGGTCAATCTTACCCCGATGATTCTTCTCAACATGGGCAAATGCAGTACATCCAAAGATTTGCAGGTGACTCAGATCGGGCTTCTGTCCATGCCAAAGCTCGTAAGGGGTGTTGGCTGTGGGCAGAGCCTTCGATGGAGATCTGTTTTGCAAGTAAACTGCTGTATGCATTGCTTCACCCCAATAGCCATGCGTCAGACCAGAATGTGTTAGCATAGCTATGACCGAATCGATCAAGGTTCGATACTTTCCTTCAGCTACTCGTTCTGTTCGGGGGTATCAGGTATCGTGAACTGTCGGTGAATGCCGTGAAGCAGACAGAAGTCATTAAAAGCTCGAGATTTATATTCCAGACCATTATCTGATCTCAGAACCTTAATTCGCTTGCTCAGGAAGTTCTCAGTCATTAACTTGTATTCCTGAAATTTAGCAAATGCTTCAGACTTCTTGTGAATGAGATACACATGGGTATAGCGGGAAAGATCATCGATAAATGTTATGAAATATGTACAGCCAGAGAACGTTCTAGTTCTCAAAGGTCCACAAATAAATGAGTGCACTAAACCGAGTAGGTCTGTTGCACGCGTGGCTCCTTTCTTTGGGAATTTTACTCTGGTGGACTTCCCTATGGCACAGGAAGTGCAGAAAGGGAGAGTTTTCAAGGAACAGTTGTCGAATCCTCGCCCCATGTTTTTGGGCTTCAGTTCTTGCATTCTGGGCAGACTCATATGCCCGAGTTTAAGGTGCCACTGGAATGTAGTCAGTTCTTCATTGTTGACTACTGAATTGGCAGAGGCTGCTCGGGGTGTCATAGAAGTAGTACCCAGCCGAATTAGTTGATTTTCGATGGTGCAACGAACTATTGTTGCGCCCATCTTGTCCTGTACAAGGCAGTGATCAGGTTTGAGCACTACACCCCCTCCTTGCAGAAGGTGCTGAGTTACAGAGAACAAATTCTTGCGTAGAGCTGGAACGTGGAGCACGTCAGGCAGTAGCCTGTCTGTTCCATTGTTCAAGGAAATTAGAACACTTCCTTTTCCGAGTATCGGTTGGCGACTTTCGTCGCCAAGGTAAATGAACTCCTCCGATGGGAGTTCCTTGTAGTCCACAAATGCACTTCGGCTATACGCCATATGCTGTGTAGCACCCGAATCCACATACCATGTGGGATCCGCGCCGGTTGACGAGAGTACGGTGACAAACAGCCGGTGCTCAGCGTTCGCAGTCGAGTGTGCAGAAGAGCTTTCTTGCTTCTTCTTGCGACACTCACTGGCAAGATGCCCGCGCTTCTTGCAATAGAAGCACTTCATCTTCTGGCGGGGAAAGGATGGCTTGGCTGTGTATTCTAGTCGTGCTGATGAGGAAGTGCCGGCCTCATCTGATCTTCTGGGCTGCTGCTTAGGAGGATTTAATCCTTTCTTTTTCGCGGTATACAGTGCAGTCGTGCCGGTAGTTACCGCTGACTTCTTGAGATGCTCTTCTTCAAGAAGAAGATTGGTGATCACGGTCTGTGTGGACAGCGTGTCAGTCACTCTCATGGCGCGAGCGAAGGTGTCGTATTCATCCGGAAGACTTTCCAGGAGGCAGATCACGGCTTCTCCTTCTGGAATTGACTGTCTGATGGCAGCCAGCTGATCTAGTAGGAGTTGAAACCTTATGATGATGTTCGACACTGTCTCGCCTGGCTCCATTTTCAGTGCATGCAGCGCTCTTCTCAGGTGCAATTGGTGTGGATTCGATTTGGATTCGTAAATTCTGGCGAGCTCGCGCCAAACGTCAGCAGCTAACCGATAGCGTGCTATCAAAGGTTGTATCTCCCTTGCGATGGCATTGTTCAACATTGCCAAGCAAAGGAAATTACTTTCATCCCAAGCCGTTTTGCTCCCTGCGCCGAATTCAGGTGTTCCGGTCGCAGAACCGGGGGGAGTATTAGGCCGGGGCTCGGTCCCTTCAATTAGTTCCATCAATTCCCCATCAATTACTTCCATGCGAAAGAGCCAGCCGATCTGGTCTTTCCAGGCATGAAAGTGCTTCCCATCGAATTGGGGAAGATCCCGTAATGAGAATTTGAGACGTCCTGATGATGTCATCTTCCTCGTAACGTCTGCGTGTGTACACCTTGTTCACGGTGCGATGCAGGATACTGACCCTACTTGCAAAAATTTTCGCGAAACGAAAGTTTTCTTGAAATTTCGTGAAATTTCTCGTTTGAATTGCTGGAAACCTTTAAAATTTCGTTCGAAATTTTAGAGATTTTCTGAGTTTCCGGCTCCACAGTGCTTCAGATCAGCACTGTCAAGGCATTTCACAGGTTCTGACAGTCGAATCTGATCAAATTCGAAGTCGAATTTCGGAGCCTGGTGGGGATCAGCGATCTCTTGGTATTGCTTTCGCAGGTGTCTCAGAGGGGTCACAGCGTGAAGCGTCCTTCTTGCTTTCTGGATTCAAGCGTCCTTGAATCTGAGTGGATCTTGCTCTGATACCATGTTAGATTTAGACGATGCAATAGAGAGTAAGAGATCAGTGAGTTGAGGAAGGATTGAAGTTATAATTGATGGATGAAAACATGCGACCCGGATTGGGTTTAAGTACCCAATCCGGATAGGATCAAAGGTCACTAGAGAGCACACGGATCGAAGCTCTACGAAGGGTCATGCCCCTGTCACGGGACGCTCCCAGAAGGGTCGCATCCCCAGTTAGTATACATCCTAACTATTAGTAACCTCAGTCCTAACAACTAGGACATAGTACACAGGTCCCGAAGAAGTAGGGAGTAATCAGCATTCTAACAAAAACAATCAAATTAAGAGAGAATTTGGCGCTCATTTTCATAGCTTCTTTCCATTTGATAGAATCACCACTCTGTAAGGCGTCTTGATAAAGAGTAGGTTCTCACCTTATGAGAATAAAGCGCTATGCTTCTTCCTCTTTTCTAACAGATGATCATATTGTGAGTCTCACCATATGAGAATAAAGCTCTATGCTTCTTCCTCTTTTCCGACAGTTGATCATATTTTTCGATACGTTGCCTTACTCTTTCCCCCCTTCGAAAGATAGGATCGATGATGAGGGAAGATGGTGAAGCTGCCCCCGTAGCTGTTTGGTCAGGAGGTTGAACAGCCGGGGCCTCAGATGTAGTGTCTTGAAGTCTTTGTTCACGCAGTAGGTGCTCGAGGTTGTGAACCGCATCAACAAGAGGAGTAGAAAAGAGAGGATTCTCCCGTAGCTGCCATGTGCGCCTCTGGTAAGTCTCGCCAAATCGGGCCGGATGAGTCGCAGGGACTTCAGCTGTGGGACGATGACGCACGGAGGGAGTGGAAGGTGCTTGTGGAACTCCCACTCCAGGTGATAGTGTAACCGGACTGAAGGCTCCCACTGCTAGTGGCCTTCATGCTGGTGGCCGTCCTGGTGGTAATATTGGGGGAAGGGGAAACCTGCGATCTGGATCAGTATATGAAACTAATGGTAAAGGGCGAAAGGGAGTAAAACTTTCTTGCTCAGATGGCGGAACAACTGATGTCTGCTGATGGGAAAAGGTAGATTCCCGAACTGCAAGAGGTATAAATCTGATAGATCTGCTCTCAGAATCTTATGAGAGTCTTTTCGCTGTAACGGATATCCTTTGGCTGTAGGAGAATAACCAAGGAAAACACATTCTACACTCTTGGGGTCAATCTTACCCCGATGGCCTTTTTCAATATGGGCAAAGGCAGTACATCCAAAAACTTGTAAGTGGCTTAGATCAGGCTTCTGTCCATGCCAAAGTTTGTAAAGGGTTTTGTCATTGGGTAGAGCTTTCGATGGAGATCCGTTCTGCAGGTATGCAGCAGTATGGATGGCTTCGCCCCAATAACCATGAGAAAGACCAGAATTTGTCAACATAGCTACAACTGAATCGCTATAACTGAATCGATCAAAGTACGATTCTTCCGTTCAGCTACTCCGTTTTGTTCGGGAATGTCAGGAATAGAAAACTGACGTTGAATACCATGAAGCGTACAAAATTCAGTAAAAGCTCGAGATTTGTATTCAAGAGCATTATCTGATCGCAGAACCTTGATGCGCTTGTTCAGGTAATTTTCTGTCATCAATTTTCAGCTTCAGACTTCTTTTATATCAAATACACATGTGTATATCGTGAAAGGTCAGCAATAAATGTTATGAAATATTTACATATAGAGAATGTTTGAGTTCTCAGAGGGCCACATATATCTGTGTGCACTAGACCAAGAAGGTCGATAGCACGAGTGGCTCCTTTGCTTGGGAACTTAGCTCTGGTAGACTTCCCTAGAGCACATGAAGTTCAAAAAGGGAGAGTTCAAAAGTAACAATTATCCAACCCTTGTAACATATGATGCTGTTGTATTTGCTGAATCCTGGGAAGAGTCATATGACCGAGCTTTAGATGCTATTGATTGGTATTCAGCTTCAGTGTTGGAAGCCGAATAACTAACATTGGCAGAAACTGCGCGTGTATTGTAAGAAGTCGATCCCAGCCTAAAAAGTTTTTTGTAACTGATGCACTATGCAACGACGTTACCCATCTTGTCCTTCAAGATGCATTGATCAGGTTGAACCAGTAAACTCCCTCCTTGAAGAACAAGCTGATTTATCAAAAATAGATTCTTTGGGACAGCAGAACATCATGTAGGATATCAGGTATTATCCTTTCCCGTCCATATTACAAAGAAATGAGAACATTCCCTTTTCCAGAAATAGCACCCACCCACCCCGCGAAAACTATATCCCCGTTCCTGACGAATGACAGACCTCTACACAGAAGAGAGTATAGTAGGGTGATGGAGCCAAAAGTGAGGGATAACTAGCCGCTCCCTCTATATATCATGTATTGCACATGCCTCTGGCTCAATCTTGGCCTGAACAGTACGCATTCCATTACTGTCAAGTAACAATGGAGGATATGTTTGTCCTGTGCAGGCCGGTCAGATTTATGGAGTTCCACTGAGTGGATCTCTTTTAAATAAGCCGGGGGGCTTTCCTGAACAACGTACATGCGGAGAAGACTTCAGGAAGAAGTGGATTGAGGTAAGTCAATCTATGGACTACCGTCGCCAGCGTGCAGTAAACTCTATCTACGTTGTGGTTGATGCACTTACAACTGATCATACTGATCTCACTACCGATCACCTGACTGGAATCTCTGCTCTGTACTATGTTTCCTACTTATTGTCAGCCGTAGATAGCTAAAATTCATACGCTTCTCAGCTCTCGATTTGTATTTATGAATGTGGTATCCAAAAAGGCTGTGGCTTATGATGACTATCTTGGGCAAGTGAAAGAGAGTAATCTCTTTCACTTGTTGTCGATTTGAAAGTATGTAACACTAGATGAGAAGCGTTTCATGCAATGGAGATTTTCAAGGATGGATGTATTGTTCAGTTTGTCACATATTTACTTGTTCGCTTAATAATGAGTTCATACTTTCGAAACATAAATATCGTTTCGTTGCTCGTGAATCTGAGTCCAAGATAATATAAATTTTTTAATGCTTTTTGTTTTTTTGTTTGTGGGTTTCTTCCTCTACCATCAGAGTCTTCAGGGCTCTTCCCCACATTTCCATCCCTGATCGCCTCATCAAACTTATTCATCGTCACTGATACCCCTTTCATTCTGGTGCATCGATGCTTGTCTCCTATATCTTATAGGTAGAATTTCCTTCTCCTCTCATGTCCTTACCTCTGTGTATGTATAGGCTAACTTGCAATTCTATCTACTTTTTTTTTGACTTTGTTTGTACGTTCGATCACTATTCTATCACAAATGCGCTCACTCTCATCCAATGACCTCACTACAAATGAAATTCTTTCCAGGGTTTCATATCTCTTTGGTCCTGAGATAATTAAGCAATTGATTCAGGACGAAGTCCGAAAACAAGTTCTGGAGAACCTTTTCTTCAGTTTTGCAGCTGTCTTAACATTTATCAATGCGAATTTTCCTCGTTTGGATTTTCAAGTCCGTCGTTATGTCCAGTACTGGTACTTCACCTCTTTGTAACTGGATTTGGATCAGTCGTTGTTCCTTCGTGCTATTTATTGGGTTCTCTCAATCACCCGGAGAGTTCTCACATGTAAGTATGCCTGCTTTTGCCTACAACTCCCGGGGTTTTCTCTTGACACACATTTTCGGCCTTCATCGTAACAGTCAGGTTGGCACATCACGTCCGGGCACGAGAAATCTATGATTGAGGGGTTAGGTTACTGGTCCGAAGGTGTTATTTGCACTCGGACTCACACTTTCTTGTCCCTCATTTTTCTGTAGGTCATTCTCTTCTGACCCCTTCACACTAAATGAAATAAAAGTTTGATCTTCAGTCTCCTTATCTCAAGTCATTACTGGCTCATATATTGGTAGTTTGGTTTCTTTTGTCACCTGGAGTGAGCGTCACTTACCCTGGATACTCTTTATTTGTGTCGGTTAGATTGTTATTTGTAGCACTATCTGTCCTGGTTGCTCTCGAGTAGTACAGTCGCCGTGATGGGCTCTATAGGCAAACTGTTGTGGTAGTCATCGCTGGACAGGTCCACGGGTCACGGTTTTCAGGATACTCTCTACGTGTCCTGATATGCTGGAATCGTCTCCGTTCAGGCTCCGGTCTCAGTTCTGGTTGCGTTTGTGCGTCCTGGTTATTTGCTATTTCCAGCTGAAAATTGTTGGATAACTGTTTGACGTAATGAGTGAAGGATGTTGTCGTTGGAATTATATCGTCGAGGATTTGGCCCATGTTTTGGCTTCTCCTTTAGAGTATTCTCTTTATGGACTACTTGCTCTCCTCATTCGTGACTCTCTCCAGTGCTTTCGATGCTTTCGAAATTTCAATATTTAGCCAACCTGGTGCTATACAGTATCTACAGTAGGTCTATGCAACGGTTCGGGAATCTCTGCATGGTCTGTTGGGTCCTTAGTTGTCCTCAACGCCCTGGCGGTCCAGTCCAGATTCATCATCGTACAACTTGTTGAAGGAGCCCTCGGTCATGTGACGATTGACTGATGCCCGTCGGGTAGGTATAGTTGATGGTCTCTGACACCTTTTCTCCCAGCGGATTGGGGAAATCGTACCGCACATGTTTCTATCAGTCCGTGTGCATTCTGTTTCATTCTCTGTCTCACATAGGTGGACTTTATCCACCGGAATTTCACTGCCGGCTTCCGTTGTCTGCAACTCACTGATTGCTCCCTTTGTGGATGGGGTGCATGGGGTTGTGTCTCAGATAGAGCCCGTATAGTTATGTCTCCAGGGTCTGTGTTTCTCGCTTTCCTTACGTGTTAAGCGTTGACAACGCATACAGTTTTATATGCTTAGGCAGTTCTTCGCTTTACTGTCTGCTCAATTAGTTTTCTTCAACTACTCCTAGTAAAACAGAAACCCTTGAAGCTAGCTTTACTTGCTACTTGCGACACGATGAAGGGCGGTGATCAAGTCGTGTTGTCCCGGTAGAGCATGTCGAAACTGCTTCCGTATTCGTCGCTAGACAGGCGCATCAAACTCGCACAGATCGGAGAATTTCTTTCTGTGTTTGTCGTGCTCGCATCCTGACCTTGTCCAGGCTACTAGTACTTTGGGGTTTGAGCGCAAATTCATTCGTGGCATTCTCACTTGCTGTTTTAGTTAGCGGATTCCATTCGTCACCCCTGGATGTCGTATATTCGAATTTGACAATTCGCCTCATTTTGAGAAGATTCAAAATTTATTTGGTTTGAACATGGTCCTACTTCAGGATCCAAGCCGAGAAGAAGAGAATCATGTTGGAAATCACATATTCGGGGTTGATACGATGGTATGAAATCCAAGCTCTCCCAATGAGGGATTTAGATCTAGTCCGGTATACAACCTCAACGATCCAGAAATTTCATGATGAATGGACCAGAGATCTTGAATGGTTTTGTCTCTATCTTCTTCCAATCTCCTCCCAACCAATTTCCAGAAGAGTTCTGCGTTCTCCATCCTGTACCTTTAGGGTACTTGGTCTAGGTTAACCCTATCCTTTGCTGCCGGGGATTCTGGTCAAATTCTGTTCCCAGGAGTTTGTCAGGGCCCAAGACAGTTTCATCAGAAGTTAGAGCACTAAAGCAAGATATCACACTATTCGCTTTGTCACCGTAAAACTCTCTCCATAAATAGCTCTCTACCCTGATATTTTATTCATAGCCCAACTTTGGTATGGCGTACATGTAATCTATCTTGATAAGTTTTTGAGCAATTAAATGATATTATAGAGGCCTGATCGGTCTAGAGCTTCACAAAATCCCTTGAAGATGAGTTCTAGTTCTCTAACCAAGGCTCTTGTACTTTGTTATCGGATAGGTCATGGTGTTTTTTTATAAGATTTTTATTTTCTAGTTTTCTTCTTAACAATTATAAGCTGTTGATGGTGCTTCTTCAAAGTCTTAGAACCTCGGAGTTCTGCAAGGGATCAATTATCCAGTGAAATGTCCCCGTTTCTGTTCCCTAAAACAAAAGAAACTGACCTTTTAGCTGCTACGCGATGCTGGGCCTTAACTGGACAACAAGGGACCAGTGTCCCAATGGACTTCAATGTTCTGAGGGTTAACTCTACGAGCCGCTGGGTTCGTACGCTCGGAGCAGTTTCTGTGATTGAATTGCGGCGTCCCAGTTGCTTGAATGATCGATTCTTCCTGAAATAAATAAGGAGAAGGATTTTTGCGATTTTTGCGGATCCTTTTCTCCTCAGTATTGCCTCCCCTCCTCCTCTTCACTTCTTCGTAAGTTATTTTCACAGAGCAGCCAAGGCGTGGGGTGTTCTGCAGGGTACAAGTTGTTCGTTGATTCTTACCTCTACAATACTAATAGTCCTCCTGTTTGCTGCTTTGCTATGCTTCAGGATTTGTCGCAGCGGAAGAGGTTAAGAAGTCTCGCAGAGCATGTTCCTCATGGCTATCGTCGTCGTTCTCTCTTTGAGGCCCTTATCAAGCATGAAGTTCCTTTTATTCGAGCAACGTGGTTTGTCAAAATCATGTACCTCAATCAAGTAAAGTACATCAAACCTGGAGCTGAATATAATATCGAGACGGGCCCGGCATAATAAGGAGATCTCTGGTGTACATTGCTGCATTGGTTAGTGTGTATGTATGTCATGGAATCCCGCATCTCATACATCTCCCTTATTTGGTCTTAAATTTCTCAGTTGTTCTATAAACATACTCTCCCTCAAGGTGGATGAATCAGTAAAGGATGTTTGGTCGATTCCTGGTATCTATCCCATGGTAATTGGAGCAATTTGGTGCTATCGTCCCATTGCGCTGTACGACTTCCGGTGGCCATGCAAATATGCTTATTCCAGAACGCATTCCAGTTCTACGTTCCTATTACTATGATTACTCCGGATTATGCTGATTACATCATGCACAGGTTAGATGAGTCCGCACCGCAGGCTTTTGTATCAGGAGTCGTGTTAACGTTATTCTTATTTTACAAACAGATCTCACATGCTAAAAGGGTCGCAACCTCATACCACTACTTAGTATTCACCGCCTATGTCTTGACTCATTGTTTTATACTTCTCTGTGAACAAATTTACTCCCTCCACTTTCTTACCATGTAATGGCACATAACTTTCTGGAAGTACGGGAGTTTGATAATCTTTATTCTTCACACGAATTGCGCCGTACCTTCAATGCTTGGCTAAATAATGGATGGAACAGTCATAGCCTACATCTATAAAATTTTAGATCAGTCTGCCATACTCCTATATGTTTCCTCGACTCACTGTTTTCCGTAAATGGGCCCTGTCGATGGGGCAGGTTATGTCTTGTCCTTCTCCAATAGTTGAATGATTTGCTACTAAATATATACATCAAAACTTGCATGAAGAGTTAGATAGAAATGAGTTGACTCTTGTTAGCCACCTTGATCAACCAACTTATGTTGAATCCATGCAAGCTTTTGTCTAGGTGCGGCCGTTATCTATCGGAATGTCCGCCGGGGGTCCTGATAAATCACAAGCCAAACGTGTGGAGCTTTGGACGAAGGACGTCCTAGAGTATGCGCAGACTCTTCTTGATGAACTCACCAGCACGCACACAGCAGCCGTGTCAAGCCGTCAGTCCCCGAAGCTTCAGCAAGGAGGAGATAATGCCCAACAGACTACTGATTCCGGAGAATCTGAGGCACAATTGAAGTGGAGATATCTTGTTCGCCTTGCGCAGTGGCACCATTCAGAGGGACTCTTACATCGAGCACAGGTTGTTGACTGGGCTTTGAAACAACTCCAGGTGACTTCCTCGTGATCTAAAAGCATATGGAATTTTATCTCTACTCTGGCAGCAAATTTTTTTTGGGGCTTATTGCACTTATTGTACGCATCTTAAGCAGGTGTCAGATACACGCTTTGTATCTGCTATCACACGTGAATGAAATTCTAAGCGCTTGTATTTGATTCGTGATTGCCAGGAGAAAGAGTCAGTGGAAGCATTGCAATTACTCCTTCCTGTTATAGTGAAAGTTATAGATGGCCTTTCTCTGTCGCAGACACACGTTCGCGTGCTTGTAGATGTATCGCTTCAGTGGTTACAAAAGCTTTGCCCCAACGGCCTTTTCCCCGACTTACTCGATTGCCCTCATTTGGCCTACTGTGCGACAACACTTACAGAGCTTCTGCGTTATCTGCTTCTTGTTGTTCCCGACACATTTGTGGCATTAGACTGCTTCCCGTTGCCAGCGTGTGTTTGTCCATTACAGCCAAAACAGGAGTTTTTTCCCCGCCCAGTATTATCAGGAGAGGGGGAGAGCAAAGACGTGTCTGTTCTGAAGGGTGTGTCAGATTCAGCAGAAGACATTAAAGAGACAACTACGGGAGCAGTTGGCACACTTGAGATGCGATGCTCACTGAAATCTGGAAAGCTTTCAAACCACAGGGAGAAGTTGATAGGTGATGTTGTCGATGGAATCCAAAAGCGTGCTGCATCTCTTGCAAAAGCCGTAAATCCTGGACTACTTCGAAATAATGAGGGAAAGGTCGTACAGGGTTTGGATAAAGCACTCACAGCGGGAGATGTCCAAGGTGCTTGTCGCTGTGTGTTTGATGAGGATTTCTGCAGCAGTGAACAACTCCCGGATAATTGGCAGGCCGACGTTACTGCTGGCTTTGGTAGAACCCCTACTCTTTTGACGAATGTGAACTCTTCTGAACTATTTGCAATTCGCTTCCTTTGTGAGTGGGCTGTGTGTGATTTTCGAGATTCGAGGGGTCCTGGCAGTTTTCCTGATAGGAAGGGCGCAAGTGTGAAGGACATGTCTAGGGTGTACATGGCCGTTTCAGTTCTTCGAACGAGAATGGAAGAGCTGACTGATAAGTGGAGAACGAATATCATAGCTCGGAGCAGTGATTCCCATTCCAACGGTGAACTGAGTGTCCAAGCTAAATTTCGAAGTAGGAGGAATGGAATTAAGGATGAATACTGGGAAAACATTTTCGGTTCAAGATGTGAAGGTCTGGGTATTGATCGTAAACACCATTCGGAGCCCTTGCACGATCTCATAGTTGCCTGGCTTGATCAGCATGAATTGCATAAAGGGGATAGTTCTGAGAGGCTCCAGCTTTTGCTTTCAGAGCTTGTTCGCGAAGATCTTTTCTGGCCACACGTCTATGTTAGGCAGCTTCTTTGCAGTGGCGTTTTGGAAAGAAATGAAACTGCAACAGATCGGTCACGTGCTGCTCGTCATAAGTTACTGCTGAGAAACTTGCAGGGGCCGTCGCAAGACGATGATAATGACTTGTCATTCCTAGAATCTTTCCGCTTATATAGAAATGAGCGTTATCTTGCTCTGCATGGCTACAATAAGGTAAATGGGAAACCTGGAGGAGATGCTTCGAAGCCCGAGCGGGGTCCACCTCAACAGCCGCCAGGAGGTGTTTTTGGTAGGGTGGACGTTTGGTTGAATAATGGTGCAGAGGCGAGGACTAATCTCAGCAGTCAAGATAGTCGTGCAATTGTTAGTAGGAATGAGAAACGCGAATTGAAGCTTCTCGAATTGAAACAGGCCATAGCATCGTGCCTACAATTTCCTGATGGGTATTTGGACCATACTGCCAGCAATGAATACAAGAATCACAACTTGTTCAAAAGGCAAACTGCATCACCTTCCAGCAGCCTAGATAAGACAGAAGCTACTCCAGGATGCGAGGAGTGTATTAGGAACAAGCGTCCGAGAACGATGGATGGCAAGGCATGGGTGAGTCAAGTAATGCCTCTTGCTTCCATGGACGAAGAGGATTCTTGGTGGCTACGCAAGGGACAAAAGGCGTTAGACGCTGTGAAGGTAGAACCACCTGTCAAGCCTCCTTTGAAGCAAAGTGCTCGAGGTAGGCCAAAAACCGTGCGAAAGACTCAGAGCCTCGCTCAATTGGCAGCTGCTCGAATAGAGGGCAGCCAAGGTGCTTCATCCAGCCACTCATGTGAAAGTAGGGTGAGTTGTCCTTATCATAGATCAGTGCCTGAGGGATCAAGCAACTCGAACCTAATGGTAAGGAGGAAAGGCCTTTCAAGCAGTGATGTTCGTGCCATTGGAAGTTGTGTTCGGCGGTTGAGGCTGAACGAAAAGAAATTTCTCGCGAGCTGGTTGGACTTGGTCGTACGTCGCCTTGTAGCTGGTGGTGAAGGAGGCACTTGTGTTCGATGGAGGCTCAACGAGGAGCAACTGGCTGTCGTTATCTATGTTCTAGATGTAGCGAATGATTTTCATACTCTTGTTCAGTTGGTCTTGTGGTTGCTGCCAATTGCACCAGTATCTCCAGCAGCACCACCTGGTCATGGCAATCGAGGCATTGCTACACTACCTTGGATCAGAGAAAATTCTACATGTGATGTCGGTGAATCAGTACTTCTGTCTTGTCTTCGGAGGTGATTCTTGACTCTTTCTCTTCAGAGTGCTTTGTTTTAAGACGTTGAAATCTTCACATTAGATGAGAAAGGAGCTCCGCGCGAATGGGTTTCTTCGGGAAAATGCATTTGAGTTCAAACCTTCAAACTTATCTAATTTTCACGTTGCAAGTTTAACGTACTTCAAAATTAAGTGTAATTTACGGAATGCAAGTCTTTAAGTATGCTTTGTTGTTGCAAAGATTAATGCGTTTCAATTGTTTGCCAACTTAGATACGAAGGGCTGCTTGCGGCGATGGATATTCTTCCACAAGCCTTATCCGCTGGAATGCAGCGTGCAGCAAACTTAATGTCTGTGGTACCAGGTGGTCGGGCAGGTTGCTCAGCATTGCTGTTGTATGTGCGTGATTTGTTGAGAAAGTATGGCAGTCTTGTTAGTGTACAAACCTGGGAAAAGAATTGGAAAGGGACATGTGACCAGAGATTGGTTGCCGAACTTGAAGCTTTGAAAGCTGGGGACAGCGAAGGTGGTTTCGGCTTGGTGGGATTGTCCAGTTCAAGCATGGGAGATGACCGCGATGATCCTGTACCTCAGAGACTGACCGGACGGCTGAGTAGGGTCGGAGTAAATCTGAAGGAGATCATTCAAAGAGGTATGAGTGAGGCTTTAGGACAGATGATGAACAGAGAAAGAGAAGCTGCTGTGGGTAGTTGTTTGAAAGAAGGTGTTATCGAAAAAACTGACGAATGCTTCGTGGCTGCTCAACGGGTTGTTGGAGGTGTGATGGACACTATACGGCAGAATGGTGGCGGAGTGATGCAGGCCGATTCAGCTCTTGTTGCAAGTGCTGTCACTCTATTCGTAACCAATGCTGCGGCTGCAGTTGCTAATGTCTTTGAATCACTCGGCGCGAGCAATCATCTCGGCACAAGTGTGACGGGTTTGGGCCCTTCTTTGAGATGTTCTCGAAGAGTTCTTCAAATGCACATGCTCTGCCTGCGTCTGCTCAAAGAAGCACTTGGCGAGCGTCATAGTCGGATGATCGAGGTCGTACTGGGTTCTGAGGCTAGTACATTGGTGCTTCACTCGTTGCAGCATCCTTCAGGACGTGTTCCTCGAACACAATTTCAACCATCACCCGAAACTCCTGACAATTCTGTCCTTGCAAATGATCTTGGAATTGGGGCTAATTATTTGGCAAGGGCTAGTATTTCAGCTGCTGCTGTGGCCGCTTTGGTAGCAGGTGTGGTTGTGCAGGGCACAGCAACATTGGAGAGAATGGTTTCAGTTCTTAAATTGAGAGAAAACCTGGAGACCGTGCAGATTTCGAAAACCGTTGGTCCAAGTTCTAATGGGATTTCTCGCACGACCGGTGGGAATAACAACAAGGAGCATCTCGCCGAGGCACACGTTTATTGGTTCCGGGTTTTGATTGGAAACTGTCGGATGGCTGGGGGTGGTTTGGTTGCGGACTTTTTGGGTGATTCTAATGTTCTAAGCCTAGCCCGCATGCAGCGTACCATGCCGCTCACTGTAGCTTTTCCACCTGCCTATGCTCTTTTTGGAGCTGCCCTGAGGAGGCAACCGCCGGCTTATAATAATATTGCAGTACGTGAGGATCATGTGCTACAAGCTGCAATTAATGCAGTCAACGAAGTAGTAGCCCATGAGCCCTTTCGAGACGTCTGTCTTCGTGATACTCGCGCGTTATACCTTCTACTGTCATCCGATTCCGGTGACAGTGATTATGCCGCTCTGTTGGATATCCAAGGTCTGGATGCTCGTTCAAAAGGAGCTGCAATGGTCCCATTGCGTGCACGACTTTTCCTCCATGCGTTATTAGATCGCGGATTGCCACCTTCTTTGTTGCAGGATGAGGAGGCATGGGGTCATGGACGCGCTGATGTCAGAAGTCGCTTTCCTACTGAACCTCAACAGCTGGAGCAGTTGGTTCGAATACTAGATGATTTGCAGCCGGCAACATATCACTGGCAGTGGGTGGAGCTTAGACTGTTGCTTAATGAGCAAGTTTTTATGGAGAAACTTGATGGGATGAGTGCATTGGAAGCCGTGCAGGCGGCAGCCGCTGGATCGGACGCAGGCCAGCTATCTGAATGCGAGAAAACCTTTACTGAAGTGGTGCTTACCAGGCTCTTAGTACGTCCTGATGCAGCAGCTCTTTATTCGGAAGCTGTGCACTCTCTTGGGCGAGCATTAGAGGAGTACCTTATCTTGCAAGTCAAGTGGGTACTGGAAGGAACTGATATGCTTCTTGGTCGCAGATCTCTTCACCAGCTCCTTGATAATATTGCACATCGAAAAGGATTTTCTGTTGGTACCCGACGAGTTCCAGCATGGGGTTGGCAACCTCCAGGCTATTGTGGAGAGATGGGTCAGCCTTTAGGGTCCGAGAAACGAACGGACACTGCCTCTCCTGAAGAAGGTGAAGTAGCTGAGGATGGTTCGGATTGGAGAAAGACGGATGCGAAGCAAAGCAGGAGTGGGATATCGGGTCATGATCAAGATGTATCGAATGGTCGGCAGTTTGCTATCGAGAAGGCCTTGGCAGATTTGGTGCTACCTTGTTTGGCTCGCAGCTCGAATGAAACTTGCAATGGTTTCGCCTTTGAACTTATCAAACAAATGAGTAACTTAGAGCAGCAGATAACCTTACTCGCACGTTCTGTTGGGAAACCTGTTTCAGCGTCCGCTTCCAGTGGAGAGTGTATGGGCGGTAAAGGTGCAGGAATGAGGCGAGGAGCCAGAGCTGGGTTTGAGACCAGTAGCCCTGGCATTGGGAGGAAGTTCATTGGTTCAACTGCAGAATCTGCTGCAGTGTCTGCGGCTGCTTTGCAAACTTCAATGTGGTTGCGACTCCAATTTCTTCTCCCTTTGTTACCAATCATACATACTGACAGGTCAGGAAATGCTTCATCCTTGCCCTTGTCATTTCTGAGGCTTTTATCACTATTTGTCTGGGGGCTTATATCACGGTGTTATGCATATTCGTCAATCAGCTTGATGAAATCATCAGCATTAAGTCACATTACAAATGTTTTGCAATTTATAAGATGGGCGCATCTAGGCCGGATTTAGAACTGAGCTTCTGGTACAAATTGGATTGATGGTTATGATATGGTTTATCATTACAATTGCAAACATCGTTGAAACTTCGTGCGAAGCTACACGAAGTTTCAATGGCAAGTATTTGCGATAGGTTTCTGTCCTTTTGAAGAACACCTAGTATCCAACACTGAAATGCACCAAGAATATGAGAGCATACATATTTTCACGCTTGTTATCAGTACTGACATCCATTAGAGAGAAGAATAGATATGCAGAACAGTAAAGCGATGACCTCCAACTGAAACTTGGGATCCTTGCTCCTGTACAAGTTAAGGCGGAAAGCATTGACGAACGGATTGATGCACCATGTTCTAAGCTGATTACAATTTCTGGAGTTCTATCGAGCGCTAATCGAGACCATGCTAGCTTATCCTCCTCTCTTTAACTTCTTACTGACATGACAAAATTCTCATTTGATACAACTGTCCAATCTGTTAAACAGTTGTTGGAATGCATGTGCTGCTTGAACGTATGTACTTTATAGACAAATTAGATAGCTCTTGTTGGAGCACTGTGATGACTGTTTTACTGGATGCACTCAACCTAAGGGTTTAAGCTTCCACAACCAATCATGTTCGCCTTGTGAAGCTTTTTCTTCGTTGTCACTATTTATTGTATTTATCCCTGACTATATGAAGAAAGATTATACTCCTTCTATCAGCTCCTGTGTGAATCTCCTTTCCCCTTTGCATATCGACGTTGTATATTGGGTCTCAATCAACCGGGATCGAAACCCAGCGCGACGACCTCGAAATGAAACTTAGTGTGCCATGGATCTTTCAATGGGGCTGACGAGATCTTGGAGGTAGCGTAGTGACTTGACACGCGCTCATTTTCCACGTTGACTACAGCCTCTAGATTTCGTATCTATAGAAGCTTGGACATCCCTTCCTGGGTTCCTGCTTACACTTTGCTTCCGCTTCCACAGTTTTTTCATGTAGAACCTCGTCTTTCTTGGATTGTTGTCTGCACCCGATTGGCGGTTGCTCTCAAGTACAGACATGGGTATCCATGAAATTACCATCTTTTGAAAGAAACATGAAAGTCTCTACGATCCACTCGGAATGCCACTACTGGTTGCTTGGAGATACGTGCGCACTACATGCAACCGCTTTGTGATCATGCATCCATAGCTAGACTTTTATCTTATGAAGCTCTTTCTTGCATGCTTTCTGCATCCTGCTAATGCTCTCATTTTCACTCCTTCGTACAGCCACAGTACAGACTTGTTCTAACAAGCGATGCCAACATACTGCCAGCCTTTAGACTCATTACTCTACTTAACATGGGAACTAAGCATAAGAGAAAGCCTTTTGTGAATTATCAGCAATTGAAGTTACCCCTAAGGCAATCTGTACCTCTGCATACGTACAATAGAGGAACAAAGGGTACTTAACCTTTGGCAGCAAAGTGATTTTTGTAGAGTAAAAGTGGACATGCTCAAAATTTCAAACCTTGCCTTCTCAATCTTCACTATTTCTTCTGACAGAATCAAACATGCAAGCTTGGATTAGGTTGAGATAAAGAATTTCAGTATCACGTTTATGGACGAATGGGCCAGTAAATTTGTTTTTTACTGTAAAATTTTATGTTTTATTGAGGTATAAGTATGGCTTTCCAGTTTTAGCGTCAATCACGTAGCGTACCATCTACAACACAATTTTAAGGTGTTTGTACCCCCTGGATAATGGGGGGATGTACTTAATACCTTGATCGACAAGTTAACACGTAGTTTTCAAGTTTTATTTGTTTGCTGGAAGCGTTGCAACGCCAATGTCAATGCATCGCTTATGAAAGAGAGGAATACGAATTTGGTTCATCTGCCTTCACGACGATCGTGCTCTAAACCCTGAACCTAAAGCTCTGAAATCATTCTGAGCTTAGTTCGCTCTTTCTCCAGTGTTACTATCGGACATCCGTCAGTCGTGCTGGCGAAGCAGTGCGCTTGGTCTACATGCAGGGATTTTCTTCAAGTCGATTGGCTATGCGGAAGCTGCTGTTTACTGAGTGCAGATATTGGTCGCAACTCAAAAATTCAATTGCGTGACCACTGAGTGTTTATTTAGCTCCCTGCGAGGGTACTGAATTATTAACTGCATTCCAAGACGATAGGAGTGAAGTGTGTGCGTGCCTTGCTCAAAAGACGGATGGATGGGTGCAGAGAACAGGCGGGTCGTAACATGAGGCAAACTTTGGCTCCGGTCCTCTTGCGGCTTCTAGGTACGCGTGTCGTACAGGAAGCTACCGAATCACCTCATCCTGTCTCTGCCCGAGACCTTGAAAGAAACGCCGAGGCTTCGTCTGCAGCAGCAACATCAGCGGCAGGGGAGAATCTGTTTGACCGTCTTCTCAGTGTCTTGCATGCGCTTCTCAGTAGCACATGGGCTGTATGGCTAAAACCCCGGCCTACAACTAAAGGTCCTTCAAAACTACTACGGGAAGTTCCACCTTTTGACCGTGAGTCGGCTGAGCGCATGCAGGTTCGACATTTGTTCCAATTGTACCTGGCTGGAAAGCCATACTTATGGTCCTGTAAATTAGGCTGCTGCGTCTTGTAATTTACAGTTGCATGTTGCTTCTCGTATTTCCTTTCTTGCGACTTACGCATAACGAATGCTTCCTCTATGTTATGGGGTTTCGTAACAGATTGAGTTGGAAAACATGCAACTTCCACGTTCTGCTCGTGCAAGACTTCAAGCTGCACTGCCATTGCTGGCGATCTCTCCTCCTATGACCATTGCTGCGAGCCCTTCGCAAGTATTAATTCACTCTTTGTCTGTTCTCAACCAAGGGAGTTCAGTTCCATCGTCTACTGGATTTGGCACCATTGGAATTGGCCAAAAGGCCTTATCGTCTAGTGAAAGTAATGTAGGCAAGGCCAAATCTTCGTCGATGCCAGAGTTAGAGATGGAATTTGATCCATGGACACTTCTTGAGGATGGCGTCGGATCAGGAAGTAGTAATGGTATCAGTGGCGGTGATGCTGGAAATCTGAAGGCATGCATCTGGTTAAAGGGCTCCGTTAGAGTTAGACGGGGCGATTTGACGTATGTGGGCGCCATAGACGATGATTCGTGATTTTCAATCAGGTCACTGACTGACCCGCAGCGCAGCTGTTGTGTCTGTACAATGTCTGATCTTCCCTTATATTTCAGGGAGATACCTTGATGTCTAGAAGCCCGCTGCCCGATGTTTGGATGGTTCTTTGGATGCATGCACTTCGAACTATTGTTCATCCTATAGTGCGTGAATAGGAAGGTTATTACTTTTGGTGACTTTCAGACTATTGTCCTTTTACAATGAAATCTCTGCTGGAAAGAGTTGCAAGAGACATGCGGATCCCATCCGGATTTTGCTATCCATAATATGAAAAATTCCGGCACAAATTCTAGCCCCAATGAAATTCATTTATCAATCCCTTATCGTGAGGAAGAAAAGTACCTGGTGGACGCTATGCTTAATATTCACGAACATGGAGAGAGTCTACGTTTAGCACCCGTTACGATTGCCAACGACAAACCAAACCGATGTCCGAGGTGAAGTATAGATTTTCGTCCATTTGTGTCCTACTTCAAAGCATAAATCTCTAAACTGGTGTGGCTGATCTCGCGTTGAAAACTTAGGCACGTGCTATGATTCCAAACATAGCATTAAGGTGAGAGAGTAAGGGAGTTCGTGTTTAAAGTAATGAGATTTTAATAGTAATGATAAATTATCGATAGTTAGAAAAGGAATGTAATATGTTCTTGGTGTATTGTATAAAATAGCCAATGTCTTCATGTTGTATTGAGAGATTTGCTTGATGAGACCCCTGAGTAAAGTAATTTGTTTGATGGGACACTTCAGGTAAAGTAATTTGTTTGATGGGACACTTCAGGTAAAGTAATTTGTTTGATGTGACACTTCAGGTTTCATTTTACCCTAGTAATTTGTTTGATGGGACACTTCAGGTTTCATTTTACCCGATGGGACCCCATGAACGATGCACCGTCACCCATGTTCTAATAAGAACTAGAGAGAGTACACCGCAACCGCAGATAGAGTGGATTTCGGACTCCATCACACTCACTTGTTTTTATGTTGTCATTCTGTATCCGGCCACTCTCCAAGGAGACGAGCAAAGAAATGTTCATCCGGAGTTTATTTATTCGTCACAAATGGGTGATCGTGAGACTTGAGCAGGGTTACGGAAGGAGTGTGCAGGTGGGAGGCAACAGAGAAATCCGCGAATCTTTGCGGTGGGAAGAATTGAAGCACAACAAATTGCATTTCGAGCAAAATCGATCGTTGTCCCTGTGATAATCCACCAGAAATTATAATCAGGGATTGATCTCTGATTGTAATTTCCGCATTGTAACTAGTAGTAATCGTAATTACAAGAACTATGTCCGATGGCACACTGTCATTGGGGTCCCATCGGGTAAAACTAAACCTGAGGGGTCCCATCAAACAAATTACTTTCCGCAGGGGTCCCATCAAGCAAATCTCTCTGTTGTATTGGAAAACATTATTTTTTATATCTATTGAGGTTAATTCAAGTTAAAGAGTAACCTCACGTTAGTTATTTATAGCTGAGATTGTTAATCGATGTTGGGTCTATGTATCATCAAACAGTACTCATAGTATAATATCATTATACTCTTCCCCCGTGGAATAGCCATTGAAGATGAAACATGTGTCTACCATGTTGGTTGTTAACATGAATGCTTTGTCATGGATGACTTTTAGGTTTTTTCGGTCACAATTGTTATCAGAGTCCGTTTCAATTCCAAGTTTGAGACAGATATTGTTTGAGTTGAAGATAAATCGAAAGTAAAATTTACTGCAGGTTTAATGAGAGTAATTGGCACAAATTTATGAAGCTTAAGATTTGTTGATGGCGTTTGTGACAAAAATTTGAAATTATTATTTATTTTTTCAGGAATAAAATTTGCTTCTAGAAAATGAATTGAAAATTGTTATAGTTTAATGTCACTATGTTTTTTTTTCCAACATCGGACAGTTTTTGCAATGTCAACTAACTTGTGTCTAAGTCTATCTAATAACTTCATAGTTTTGATGAGACTCGTGGAAACCAAGTTGACACTTCTGATTCGACTCTGAAGGATGTGAAAGTTTCTCGAAGTTTGTGATAGTGTTTCGAGTCGAATGAATTGTTCGTTGTGATGGAAATTTGTTCAAGGCAAATTCATTATGAGAAGTTTGAGTATCTTTAGTTTGATATGTTTTTTCAAAAATTTGCAGTTCCGTAATACAGCATACACAGTATACATCTTTAGTTAGTTAGAAATAAAATAGAGGTTACTCTAAATGTGGATATAGATATTTTAGTATGTATTAATCATAGTTGCCATATCATTGATTTGCTCGTTTGGTAAATAGATAATAGTTGTGTTAGTTGACAGCAACACGTTAACGATCCGTGTGCTTGTTAGAATTATCTGTCACGTTATCCATCCACTAGGAATGGGATGAATAATGAGAATAAAATTTTATCTTTTAATATTTGTTACAAAGAGCTATATAAGGGAGAGTATAACCATTGTTGATATCTCTCATCTTTAAAGTTTAAGTTTTCATCCTCGTGGGAATTTTTCTCTAAACCCTAGTGTTACATGTGTTCTCAAGGAATTCGATTCAAAAAACTTTGAAAAAAAATTGACGTGACTACTTTTTCATTGTCGAGGTCGAAAAGATTTGAGATTGAATTTTTGAGTTTTCAAAAAAAATTTAGAGTATGAGTTGGACACAAATTCACTGCTATTCAAGAAATTCAGTTTGAATTCGAGCAAGGAGCACGTTCAAGCGAATCTCAAGTCGGTGCACAAGCACATGGAGCCCGTGGCATAGGACACGCAGATGTTCGTGTGCTACAACGTGATCGTGGTCGAGGAGAACAACACCTACAAGCACATCTTGAAGATAACTATAAATCTATATTCATCGCAAACTTGATGAAGAAAGTACGTGTTCTGGGACAATTAGCAGTCGGAGATGAACTTCCAAAGGGCTGAGGAAGTGGTGTGCGGGACATGAACTTCCAAAGGGCTAAGGAAGTGGTGTGCGGCGCCTTGGACGGGCTGCAGTTCATGGCGGGGAGTAGGTCCTTGCTCTCGGAGCCTCTGAGCTTCAAGAGGGGGACAAATAGCGACCATCAAGCCAAACTATATCATCGTGAGGACTAGACGAGGATCTATAGATGATTTGCATTTTGTATTTACTCAGGTGGAGTTCTAAGGTCCAGATTTGCTTTGGAGTTTGATTTCAGCTGACTGATGGTGAGTGAAGATGGAATGAACCCATACACGTTCAAAGACTGATTTTGTGTCAATGTTTTTGCCAATTTTGAATCCGAGGATAAGCAACTAAGAATAATAATCGTGCACATTCAGATAATCGTGCACAAACTCCTAGACACCGCAATTCTGGGCCTTGTAGAACGCATTTGGATTTTGACACTCGACCGTGCAGACAACTAGCTTTGAAATGATTACTCCAGTGATCTTGGTTTCAAGACTAGCATAATAGATTGTGCACAATATCTATTCGCATAGTTTTTGATCAATTCAAGAAAGAGAATGAAAATCCTCAAAAGTCCTCATGGTTTAAAAACGTTGTACAAATTTCACAATAGAGTGTTATTCTTGAGTCAAGGATTTGAGTACATGGATGCCAAAGGAATCAAGAAATCGAGAGGTGTCGAGGAGATTTTTAGAAACAATCAGGGAGGCAGATGGTGGATTGAAAATTGGTGCGTCAGTGACGCTTACCTGATTGATGGAGGTTCTCAGGACAAGATTGAAGCAGCGCAAGGCTCATGAAACCTCGGTTTGCTCTTCGTTTTTGGAGCAGCTGAAATGGGTTGCGGGAAGCCAAATAAAGAACGTGGCTTCACTGGGAGGTAAAATATGTACTGCGAGTCCAATATCAGATTTGAATTCTCTGTGGATATCATCAGGGGCGACCTTCACTATCCTCAAGCAGGGCAAGATATCGAAGCTTGTGAAGGCAGCCGAGTTCTTCAAAGGGTACCGTCAGGTGGACTTGAAGACTAGAGAAATACTCGCACTCGTGTTCTTGCCCTGGTCCAAACGGTACGAGTATGTGAAGGATTTCAAGCAAACTCATCGTCGAGATGATGATATTGCTCTCGTGAATGCAGCTATGCGGATCTCTTTAGAGCCCAAAGGAGAGGGTTGGCAGTCTCAAATGCTTCTGTAGCTTACGGAGGGGTCGGAGCAACTTGTGACATTGCAAAAAAGACAGAAGAGTTCCTGAAAGGGAAAGAATGGAACTTGACAACTATGGACAGAGCACTTTCTTGATTCTTGAGGACATCAAGATTGGGGACGGAGCCCCCGTGAGCCTGGTTGAGTTTCGGAGGTCATTGACGACGAGCTTCTTCTTCAAGTTTTGGCTTAATGTGACCTACAAGCTGGAGCACGAAGAAAATCATGTGCACGACTTACACATCAGCAGTGGCTCCATATCACAATAAAATGCCGCATGGCATGCAGGTGTATGGGGCATCAACCTCGGATAGTAGTGTCGTTCAACCGCTGGATGGTGAGCCGGAGAAGGCGGATGTGAAGCTTGCACTATTATGGTGTCTCACTTCGATTTTGTGCAGCAAACTATTGTGCACCGAGTAGTGAATGCATGCTTGGCTATTCTTTACTCTATGGAGGGAATGCACGTGGTGACATTCGAAGGCCTCGGTGATCGACGTCGTGGTTTACATTCTGTCCAGGAGGCGTTAGCTACCCGTCATGGATCTCAATGTGGATTTTGTACACCAGGGTTTGTCATGTCAATGTATTCGCTCTTGCGGGCAACCAAGGATGCTTCCACCACTGAAGAAATTGAAGAGGCCCTTGCAGGAAATTTGTGCCGATGTACAGATTATCGGCCAATTCTAGATGCGTTTTGTGTTTTCGCCAAGACTGATCTGGAGCCGTATATTGATGAATCTTTCGCGGCAAGCAATGGTTTGTCTTCTCAGAAAGATGGCTAAACGATTTGCTCATCCAGCGGCAAGCCATGCGATTGCAAGAGCCAGAACGGTGCTATGGCAAATGATATTCATCAGGATTTGGAAGCCGGTGCAGAAGCAAAAGGTGCTCATAGTCACTAGTCGAATGGTTCCACGACCCACTCAAGTCACCATCGCAAGACTGAGAAGACACAGTCAGTTAAGGGAACAGAGAATAGAGGGAACAGAAATCTCGTCACCTATATAATTACTTCGCGGGAAGTTCTAGAAAAAAACCTAATACAAAGCCCTTCTTTACACGAGAGTTGACTAGAACTAAGCCGTAGCCATCACATGATAGAGTAAATATATAAAAAGATAACTGAAGATACTATGTTAGCAAACTTTACCTGCGCTTTCATGCACAACCTGCATGAGAACACAGTGTCGTCTGAAACTCTCTAGAGACGACTGACGCATCAACTTAATTAAATTTACCGTCTATCTTGACTAGCTCAATCATTAGAGTTTATTGTCAAGTTGGACTAGCTCAATTACCAAAGTCTATTGTCAATCTTGACTAGCTCAATCATCAGAGTTTACCGTCAAGATTGACTAGCTTAATCACAAGAGTCTACCATCTATCTTGTGTCAATCATTTTATCAGACACTCTTGTCTGATAAAATACAACTTAGTGCTCGTCTTGATCATTAATCACATAATGATCAAACTCCCCCACAAGTACAGACCGGTACTCGTCTTGATCATTAATCACATAATGATCAAACTCCTCCACAAGTACAGACCGGTGCTCGTCTTGATCATTAATCACATAATGATCAAACTCCCCCACAACTACAGACCGGTGCTCATCTTGATCATTAATCACATAATGATCAAACTCCCCCACAACTACAGACCGGTGCTCGTCTCTATCATTAATCACATAATGATCAAACTCCCCCACAACTACACACCGGTGCTTGTCTCGATCACTAATCACATAATAAACAAACTCCTCCACAACTACAGACCGATGCTTGTCTTGATCATTAATCACATAATGATCAAAACTCCCCCACAACTACATAGGTGAATGAAAATTTTCACTTGTAATTACAAAGATCCTAAGAATTCTTCCCTTCTTTCAAGGAACAAAGCTTATTGAAAGACACACACCCATTAACATGAACCTTACAGTCTATGTTGCTCGCAACAGACTCTCACTTGAGACTATCTCTCACTGTCATCCACGACTAACTGCGCCCGCAACTAAGTGTCGCCCGCGATTGATTGGATCCGCAACTTATAAAAAAAAATTTGTCCACAACTTACCATACGTCACCCGCGACAAACGTTGCCTATGACCACTATTTCCCGTGACAACTATCAACCGCAACAATACCGTCCATCACCCGCGACTTCTGTCGCCCGTGACCACCGTCGCCCGCAACGGCAATATTCGTCACTCGCAACTCATGTCGCCCATGACCAGCATCGCTCGCAACTACTTGTTGCCCGTGATTTATGTCGCCCGCAACTAAAACTTTTCCTCCCGCGACATTTGCCCACAACTCATTTTTGCCCGCAACAAACGTTGCTCACAATCGTTGTTTGCCATTTACCGTCGTCCACAATTTCTTGTCGCCCGCAACAAACTTTGCCTGCGACCGTTGCTCCTCAAAAATCTAGATAGAAAATTAACTTCCGAGCAAATTTTCTCGGTTTGGATCATCTTTCAGCTCTTGAAAATGGTCCACATGTTTTATTTGTGTCGAGAGCTTTCCAACGATACCCAATTTGCCTATATTATGACAAAGATTCTTGCAGACAAAATATTACAAACAGAATATTCCGTCACCGTTGTCCCCTACCGTCACTATTGATTCCAGCCGTCATTGTCAAGCTCCATAGTCATTGTCACCGTTTGTATGAAGTTGACTGCGTTGCCCTACCGACTATGGTTGGCCTGCCGACTACGTTAGATCCACGACCACGACTGCAACCACGTTGGACTTCAACTACAACGGTGACAGAGACTGAAAGCACAACCACGTGCACATCTACCACATCCAAGCCAAACCACGTCCGACAAGACTGAGGTACACTCTGACTCCATAAAGTTCCAATACCGTAAGACGCCTTTTGCTTCGTCGTTTTTCCATATGTGACGGTCTTTCGAAGGGATTAGGTGATATGGATGGATCCCCTTTGTCAATCGCTATCACCCTGTGGAATCGCCCGCGAGACCCAGTTACATGCTGGATCCGAACAACCTCAAGCACTTTATGCAGTCTACTCCTTTCACCGAGTAGAAGATTATCAATCTGTTGAATTTTCTTCTCAACAGCTCCGAATTTGCCTGCCTTTGTCGCTGTAGTGAAGATTCAGAATCGCACACTTTGCCTATGCACCCCGCGTGTTCTCATGACCCACTCCTCGCATAGGATTCCCTCCTTTACTCCATTCTGACTCGAGAAAACTGAAAAGACTTTTGTGAGCACAAGCACTAAACCGCAAATTCTGTCACAAAAAACCGTCACTTAAACCAGAACTTTTGTTTGAAAAAATTGGTCCAGAATCTGTCAAGAAAAAAGTTTGACATCGGATCAAAACCGAAACTGCTTTGATGGATGCAATCGTGGATTAGGGTCCAAGATTCTAAGTGCTAGGGTGACAAAATCTATGGACGTGCATTCTGTGCACTCGCAAAAACCATTATCAGAAAGGAAAAAAAAACCCTGTGACGCAGAGTCCAAACCGGAACTGGCTCTAACACCAATTGTAATGTCAAAACACTCTAGTGACAGGAAATACTTGAGACATACAATGTAACGTGGTTCACCCTCGAGGAGAGGACTACGTTCACCAAGAACACAAGCACCTTTACTTCAGATCTTGTCACGAAAGAATCACTATACAAGGTGAGCCCCGAGGTATTTATCCCCAGTTCAGAGGACCGTCATAGCTATAAATAGCTAGGACCCGAGGTTACTCCTTAACTAGAGTTAACCTTAACACATAGTTCACGCTGATAGTGATGCTTCATAGTCGACGGTTGACAGTGACAATGATCACGAGTAAGGTTAACTTGTGGGCAAAAAATTGTGGATGACGGTAAATTGCAGGCAACGGTCGTCGGTGCAATAAGTCGTGGGCGACGGTGGGAGTCACTCAAGGGTGATTATGAGTCGCGGGCGATGGTGATGGATAATCACGGATGACAATCAATCGAGGGCAACGTGGTTGCAGGCAACGTTAGTATCGGGCAATGATGATGATCAATTGCAGGCGACGGTTGCGAGCACGATGACAGTTAATCAAAGAATTTGAATCTATGAAGACTAGATTCGCTGGTTTGGCAAAAGTAAGCTATGAACTTTGAAAAGCTATAACTTTTTTTGTTGGAGATATTTCTTTCAAAGAGGCCTAGATCGTTGAAAGAGGAAGAGAATTCTAAGGCTCTTTGTCATGACAAGAAAAAATCTCCGCTCACGAATATGGTTGTGGGGAGTTTGATTGTTTTGCGATTAATGATCAAGAAGCTAGAGTACTAGTAGTGGTGGAGATTCTAAGCACATGATTGAGATTTCTTAACACGAGTTAAGGAGAAAATTGTTGAGTTACCTTTGTATGTTATTACTCTATCCTGTTATGAGTAGAGCTTAATTCTCGTTTACTCTTGTTTAAAGAGTGGTCCTGTGTTAGGTTTTTGTCTTAAACTTTCCGCAAAGTAATAATATAGTTAAGAGAAATGACTAAAATTGCTTAACACAAATTAAAGGAAAGATTGTTGAATTATCTCGGTGTGTTATTACTCTATCATATTATGGCTACGGTTTAGTTCTTGTTATTTCTTGTTCAAAGAGAAAATTTGCGTTAGGTTTTCGTCTAGAATTTTTTGCGAAATAATAATATAGGTTAGACATATTACCGAGATTCCTTAACACAAATTAAGGGCAAGATTGTTGAGGTTAACTCCGGTGAAGGAGTAACCTCACATTTAGCTATTTATAGCTGAAATTGTTTGCTGGTGTTGGGTATATGTACCTAGGGTCTATGTATATGTCGTGTGAATACGTATTGCCATACACTTTACATCGCTGACATGCTACTCACATACACATACGCACACATACACACATATAAGACGCGAGAGCGTACACACTCAAATGTATCACAATTGAAAATAAACACAGTTTTCTCCACTGGAAAATACGTCTAGTCTTAACTATCCCACTCACGTCCAGTCTTAACTATCTTAACTATCCCACAACTCGCCCCCCTAGCTGGCAATCAGGTCCCTTTGACTCGCAAGTAGCCCTATCTACAACTACATGCTATAAATCTTCGTGGGTGCGCAAACCAATAGGCCGGGTGCTATGTCGCCCCATCGTTAATCGCCTATCTGCAATTCATAACATGTGAAGATCAAGTCATCCATCCTTGCAAAGTACATCAAGGACAAATCCATCGTCCATCCGGAACAACATTGATAGGTGGAGTCAGACATGACATGTGTCATCCCCTAGAACACCTATCACACACCAACATACGGGCCGCCTGACCAGCTGATCCACAAAGCATGCACCTCAAGCCAACACGTACTATTGCTAAACTTGGGTCCATAGTACCATCTACGTTTGGGAGGTGCCATGGCGCACAGTTGCGCACATGATCCTTCCAAACGACACCGTCACGACCCTCCAACATGAGATAGATAACACCTTTTGCACACGCAAGATAACACCTTTCGCACTCGCAAGATAGTGCGTCATGCCATCACATCCAATGTGGTCGGTGCAGTTTGCTGTAAATAGACGTAGTCTTCCACACAGAACCTACAAAGCATCACTCTCATCACTAAAGCAGCCATCCGCATCACTGCACTAGATGGTGTGTTTGTGTCCACAACACGTCACGTAGATTTCCAAGTCCTCCCGATAGGATCACTAGGTGGTGCAGGTCTCATGAATGAAGTCCTGCCCACCTTCGACAATAAAAACAACTTGGGAAGTCTGGCCTGTCGTCCACCCTCACTCCTCTGAGGGTCCAACTCCACGGTTGCCCCGCGTGGCTCTGAAGCGCTAGCACCATCTCTGGTCACTACAACCAATGCCTCCACCTGCGCGGCATTCGCCAATTAGGAAAAAACCTCTCC